ACCAAATATGTATTCAGCCAAATAAAAATAATAAATGTACAAAGTTATTTCCACCTGTTTTGCTTATTTCTAAATTGGGAGATTACAAAACAAGAGATGGCAGTCTATGTCACCCGCAGATCCCACTGTTTTATTTTTTAGTAAGCTGTATACACATTCCCATTCATACACAACTCTAAACAATCTCTTAAAAGAAGAAATAAAGGCACCATTGACCCATACTACTATGGCAGAGGTCAAAGCTTTTGATTGCCACTGGAGTTCAAGCTCTTCATTTAATATTTACTGCAGTTGTCCCTTCTCACACTGAACTTGAAAGACTTACAAGTATGAAAAGACTGGTAAATGCACATTTTTTTCAGTAGATGGAGACCAAACAAGAAAGTGTGGGGGAAGAGCATGTTTTTCTAATAACACTAAATAACCACCCATGTAGCATTAGCGCGCTCTATGACAAGGTGGCCGCACAGTAACGAGTAAAGAGACATAAAGAGTCAAATGCCAGAGTGCTCTTGCTGGGTGCTGCAGGGCTCTGCCTTACCACACAGCTCAGTAGTCATTTTGATGACAACAGTTAAAGATTTGAAACTTTCTCCCATAGTTACAGAGAAATAACGTAAATGCAGCTAAGAAATGAAAAGTGAAAGCATTCAGAAAATGCAAACTAATCTATACTGGAGTAGTTAGAACCTGGTATACAGGTATGCTAAAAGAAACAGGGATACATGCTTTCCCCGGTGGATGGCAAATGTGGGAGATATTAGCAATGTAGAAGCATCAGGTTGCATAGAAGGAAATACAAATCTGTCTCCATTTGAAAGTCTCATTTAAAACACTGCATTCCGGTTCAGCCACTTCACTACAATGGATAGACTGGCAAATTGCAGACAGTTCCAGGAAATAATGAATTATTCAGGAGTAGGAATGGAGATACCTTCCATGAAAAATCCAAAGTTCAAGTTACATATTATTAAGCTAAAAATAGCTACAGAGGCATGGTAACACTTTGCAAATATCTGAGGATGTAACTTCTAGGGATGGAGGGTGACAGACCTGAAATACAAAAAGAAGGGTGCACCCGAGCAAATGTGCTTCGCAGAGTGACCAGCACAACCCAGTCCTCACAGCAAGGGAGGTGTTGATAGGAGAATGAGATAGTGATTTGATGAGTGCCAATGGACAGGACATGTGAAATGGAGCTTGTAAGTAGGCGGGACAAAGCACCAGAATGTTAACTGTGAGGAAACTGTATGTTGCAGCAGGAGTAAGAGGATGGCTAAAATAGATCACCTGTTCTTTACTGTCTGCAGTCTTAAGTATTAGACTGAATTATAAAATTCTCTAGCAGCCTTTCCCAGTTATGTTGTGAATACAACAACAGAGTCCAACAGTTCTTAAAATATTCTTTTTATCTTATTTAAGCAAGGTCATTATAAAGGGAAAATATCTATATGCTTTAATTAGCTAAAACTGCTTGCAGGCAAAAACATACAGCCCCTCAGTGTCATTCTCTATACTCCACTGGCTTTAGTTGCCTCCAGAACTTCTTGGGGGCCAGCCAAGGCCTGGCCCCTCACCCAGATGCCTCTGTTCAGTGCATTTGAATGCTCTGTCAGTGTTCACGAAAAGTATCCACAAGCACTTTTCTTCTTTCAGGTTGTATACTGTCTATTCACACACAAAGAAGGATTCACAGATTGTCCAGTTTTACACATTGGCAAAACCACAACCACTCATTTTTGTCACATTTATAAATCACAGCTGAACTACACAGGTATTAGTGTTCTCACAACCCTTGTACCTGTCTTTGAATTGATAGTATATTCCATCTTGTCACCTCCAAAGACTTTTCTTTTTCCCAGTACTATCTTGAACAGCTCCTGTGTGAGGCCATCTATCTGCTGCACCTCTTTCCTTTATGGTAAAAGTTAGGAAGGATGGTCCTTCACAAAACTCTGATCTTCATCCCCAAAACAACAGCAGCACAGTGCAAAACACACACCCCACACACACATTCTGCAAGCAGAGCACATAGCTATTCCTTCTAACCCTGTAGCAGTTTTAAAACCTTCACACCATCATAACTTCCCTTGAAGCCACCCTCTATCACTAATGCTACATCCTCATGAACTGTCAGAGACCAAAGGGAAGGGAATTCCTGGTAAGGGGAGAAGAAATGGTGCAGTGGTGAAGCTTTTCTCCCTCTTGCTCCTGTGAACGAAAGTGGGAGAAGAGAGCACACCATTTAGTTTTGTGCAGTTGCTCTTGCTCTGTGTGGATGTTTTGTGCAGGAGAATTGCTGTAGAGTTTTGGGGGTGAGAGCAGAATTCCAAATGTCCCGTGCTCTCAGCCACCATACCCTGCAGAGGTCTTTCTATGCTGAAATACAAGTGAGAAGCAACACTTCAAAGCTGCTGCTTCTATGTCTCCCATGTAGCTACTCTTCAATAGCCCCTAACTGAGCTTCTCACAGGATAGCTGCAATTGGATTTAGATCTGTCTGTAATATGAACAAAGGCAAGATGCCTTCCGTCTGCCTCATAGGAAAAATCCTAACAGATCTCTAGTGTCTGTAATGTTGGAATGGGGCACATTTTCCAAAAATCTGCTGCTCACAAATACATCTCATCAAGGAGGTTATCTGAGAATTGCCACAAGAATGATCAGCTATATCTTTTTATTCATTCTGTAGAAAGCAGAAGTTTAGCTTTCAGACCACTGTCTTGCCTCATGACCGAGGTTAGAGCTGAGCAGTCAGCACATGTAGCATTTACTGTGAGGATGGAAAGAACAAAAACACAGAATGTAATGCAGAGACAGCAAATTCCTCTCATTTTATAGAGCTGGCCTGCTCAGCAGCATGCAAGGCCGGTAACTGAACTTTGAGAAATACTAAAGAACCAAATGGTCCTACAACACAGGGAATACCTGCAGTGCAGGACCTTTTGCAGTGTTCTTTGACATACCTCCAACACCGCGGTTGATGCTTTGCAAGGTCTGTGTAGAGAGCCCTGCATGTGTCAGGACAGAGCCTCACTTATCAGCTCCAAGACCATTCTCTCCCACTTTTCTGAATTTCTGGGATAGCATCGAGGTGTCTAACCTGGACTGAGAATCAGTCATTTAAGGCTTTACTTCAGTAACACCATCTTATTTGTCACCTATCAAAGCTTGCTTGTCTCATGAAATAATGAGTTGACTGTATTAACCATTTTCACGATGTTGCTGAACATGTGCAGGGTGATAACGGTAAAAGGCCTTAGTCTGTTCTTCTCTGTCCTCCTTCTGCAGCACCTCTTTAGCAGAGTGTCTCGTGGTTTGGTTGATTTTTCTAACATACTAGTATTTTAGCGTTCTCCAGCAAAAAGTCTCCCTAAGTGTAGCACACAAAATTTTCTACAAGTGTTTTTTGAAGGAAAAATCAGCTTATGTAGCAGCAGTAGTGGATTCCAAGTCTGCTGTGTGCTGACTCTTGTCTGAACAAGAACAAATACCTGCACGTGAAGAGCAACTGGGTGATGTGGTGAGGACTGCCTGATGGCAGATAACTACCTGATCAAAAGGGCAGCACAAAGGTCTTTACTCATTAACCACTTCCTGAACATTAGATAAACACTTTCCCAACAGCAATTACAGCCAGGCAACAGAACCTCGCTGCTGTACATAGTGCATTCAACTGCTCCTCCCAAAAATGCCTCCAGCAGCCACCCAGGAGGTACCTGAACCTGCACTTGCAGCTCAGGATGGTGGAGCGAGGAAAGACAAGGGGAAAGCATAAGATAAAGCACAGGGTATTGGTGAAACAATGTGTTTTAGGTAGGCGAGTGGGCTAGGTCAGGGGCATGCAGTAGACGGGCAGAGGCGAAAGGTTGGGATCCGAGTGAGGTACTCTACTCAGACAGGAAAGTAGAGTGTAGATACACCAGTTTGTAGGAACAGAACATGCAACAGAAGGTTGTCAGTACATGGATCTGAGGAGCTAATGATGGGGAAGGAATGCACTAGGAGGGAAGAGGCAGGCAGGAGGGGAAATGAACCTCTTCTGTCCCGTTTTTATCATCTGGAAAAAGTATTCTGATAATATCTACCATTGCTGACAAAGTTTGAGACCTGCCTGCCCCAATTAAGTATTGATTTGCAAATTATCTGCAATTGAAAGCTCAGTGTACTTTTCATAATGCAGGCTATGTAGATGCTCACACAGAAAGTAAGTTAACCAAGGGGAGAGATTTACCCACAAAACTCAGGGCAAGTAACAGGGTGAGGAGCCTAGCAGCTCCATGCTAGGCTCAGAAACTGTCTGAGCTCCCTCTAGCGAGCTGTGTTGGTGTTCTACACTCAGAGATCACTGCCAGTGACCATATACCTATTGACTGAATAGCTAAATTCAAACCCAAATACTTTTAAAACAAAGAGGCACAGGATCTTTGTACCTGTCCTGTAACAGTTCACATCAATTCTGCTTCACAAAGCTAAGCTCTTCTCTTCAGAAGTTTCCAGAAAAGTAAAAAAGAGCAAATGCAGTTTTAATGGTGTTAGAGACAGATTGAAACTAGACTGTTTCCAAGGCACTTGCAAAACAAAAGCACCAGGCTTGTGTAACTTCCTACTGCAGGTAATAGGAATATTTTCAAAAACACAGAAGGGAGTGTGGTAGAGGGCTTTTGCCATCATGAATGCAAAACAACTGTCAGAATTAGGGCTGGCATATAGATCAGTTCACTTGATATCTTACAGAATAAGCAAATGGGTGAATCACTAACATTTTAAAAAATTCACACTGTTCAGTTTTCTACATGGCATATAAACTCTAAAACATGGCCACCTAATAAGCCTGAAAAGGAGATTGTACAATTCATTCAAGTCTCAGGATTTGGGGTCCTCCCCCAATAACATCCCCTTTGCAAACTTTAAAAAAAAGTTTAAAATTGGTCAATTTTTAAAGTAATTTTTTTTTAAAAACTAAAATAGACATTAAAAAAAATTCACAGAACACACAGTTTAAGACATGTATGTTCATTCTGATGGCACTTCTCTGCCTGCCAGTTTCATAATTTCCTCCTGGAATGAGGAATGGAAGGGACCTTTTTGTATGCAATGAGCTTAAGCTACAGAGGCTATGAAGTGTTGCCCCAGCTCCTTCATGCAGACACACACATCTACCTATGTTTTGCCCCACGATGGGAGGAAAAAAGGAATACTTCTATCAAAACTACTCAGCTATCTTGTGGTCGTCATAAATCTGTCCTCCAGCTCTACTGGTGATTTGCTGTGAGGCTGTACACAGTTTATTTCACCTCTCTCTGTAGCACATGGGACCCCTTGTCTTGGTTGTAACCTCTTGTCTAGGCACTACCGCTACAGCAAGCTGTGGACATCAGCATTACTGTTTCCTGACATGGCTGTTCTCTGGCTTGTTATCAGTTCTGCTCTGCTCATGAGACCACATTTTGTTGCATTGTTTAGCCACAACCACAAATTAACTTCTGTTCATGTATTCCTGTGCCACCAGAAAAAAAAATCCCTGTCTTCTAGATACATGCCACTAACAACCTTTTACAGCCCTACCCCCCTCTGCATACAGCAGAGGAGTAGTTCCCTCACCATTCCTGTCCTCACACTGCCCTGCCTGGACTTCATTTCCAGAGTTCTCAAATCCAGGTATTCATTTAGGAGTGGGCATGACAGCAGCCATAATCAGAGCAGGGTGAGAGTTGTTACCCCATCAGCCAAGGATGCGTGAAAGCTGCAGAGGAAGTTGCTTTACCCAAATGAGGCAGAAAATGAAGAACCGGAGCTTTGCATTTACCATTACCGAGCAGCAATATTGTTCGCTTGTTTTTACAGAAGATCTCAGAAGTAGAGGAAGCACCCAAAGGCTGTGGTAGTAGAAACCACTGCACTATCTCTCCACCTTCCAGGCTAGTTCACCATCTGATCACGCACTAAGCATTTGAACGGAATTTTTCAAAGCAGTTGCTCTATCCTATCCTACAAATCCAGCAGTAACTGAGGCTTCCAAGGAGAATAAATAGCCCCCTTGACATCTGTGCTCAGTCACCAGCTCTACGTGCTGCTTACAACATGCAGAAATTTCCAGGGTCTTTTTTAGCCGAAATGACCAACGCTGGATGCATGGCAATACAAAACAAGAAATACAGCATGCGGAATGAAAGGTAATTTGGAGCACTGTGGTCAGATTCCATATCACAGGAAGGATATAATGCTGAAACCATCTGGCCTGCGGCTGTGAAAACACAAGAGAGGCATAAAACCAAGTTAATGGCAGCATGCCACAGCCTTGTTAAAAAACGACACATCACTAAACCAAAGTGCTGATGTAGCATCACCAAAGAGTCTTTAATGGGCCTGGAGACAGAGTGGCCTTGCATTTCATTATGTACTTAACACCAATACCTGCCCCTGCAGAAGAAAGGTTATTTCTAATGATCACTTTCTGATGTCTCGTAAGGCTTCCGTGCTGATGGTAAGTATTAAAAGCTCTGGTTGTCCTTCTTGCCCTTTAGAGTTTTTTTTATACAACACACTGGAATTTGACTTTTTATGAAAAGTGACCAATCTTCTTTAGAGGAATAAATAACAAGATTCAGCAGGTGAAGCTGAAACTGAAACTAGGACATTTTAGCTTAAAAATAACTCATTAGGATTTAAGCATGTAAGTCACCTGAACACAGGCTATAGATGCTCAGAATTACCAGTTAAAAACAGATGCTAAACCTGCATGTCTGGTTCAGAGAACATTGCAATTAACCTGAAATTTACTCCCAAGCATTAATGAGATAAATTGACGGTTGCATGGTTGTGCACTAAAATCAGCCAGAGCAGAGAAACTGCTAAAGCATCGCTTAGATCTGAGGAACAGACTTGTGCTGTTACCAGCTATTACAGCCACGCCATGTGGACTTACTTTCCTCTCTCAGCACTTAAACCCTTTCCTGTATTTTGTTATGTGACCTATTTGTAATGTACACAAACAGAAACAAATCGTATTGCTACGTGGAGCAGTTCTGTTTCAGCGGCAGCCATCAGTCTGCATCACTGAGTACATCACTGGACATCTCTTCCCGCTCGCATGGCCCCCCTGTGCCATGATGCTGGGGGGGCACGGCCTCCGGCGACCGAGGACGGAGCCCAGCTGCTGCAAAGCTGGCGGGTGGCACCGCTCGCTTGTGCTGCCTCTGCTTTTTGACCATTTACCCCTTACCTGTCCTCCTGACGCTGGCGTGTGGGCCACACTGTGTGCACTCTGTCCTCTTCAGGAGAGCCTTCCATCTTTAGCGTCAGGACTGCAGGGTGGTTGTTATTTCTTTCGATTCAAGTAGGGAGGGAAGAGGAAAAGGAGAAGGGCAAAGCATGTAAAAGGTTCTATTTTTGAAGCAGCGGTCTGGAAAGTACTTGCTGCACAGAGGTCAACACCTCTGAAATAAAAATCTGGATGCTTGTTTGGCTTTGAGGTGTCTGCTTATCGGCATTCTTAAAGACTATGGTAAACCTTTTTGTAGGGGTTCTCAATACTCTCTGCTCTCAAATCATCAGCCCACACACATTCTCCATGTCTCTCTCTTGAAGGGACAGCAGAGAAGAGGGAAGGAATGAAGGTGAAAATAATAATTTCTGCCAAAAATTAGACTGAAGATGTACACACAGCTAGACTAAATGCAATGAGAAGGCACTATTGTATCTGGCCTCTTGCTTAAACAAGATTGTCTCTAGCTTTTCCATCTGTCTTACTCCAGCTCCTGGGAGCCATCAAGCTATGCCCAGAGCTCACTCCCTCTGTCTCCATCCTTCACCTGTGTCCTCTTCTAATTTGCTGCTTCTTTGCATTCTCTGTGGTGCACCTGAAAGTGCCACATGTGCAGACAGAACATGGACCACATGACCTCACACAGTTATTCGCATTTTACTGATGGACAAGGAGGGAGAGGACATCTCCTCAGTTTGATGTGGCAACATATTACCAAGGAAAGCACAGATTTTTGCTTGCAAATAACTATAAAAGTCCTCCTGTGTGCACAGCATTCATCTTCCCCAGATAACACCTGGAGCATCTTCCAGAAATTCTGGGGTTAGGGTTTGATGCAAGACATCTTAATAACCTCTTAATCTCTGCAATATCTGTTTTGCTGGCTATGTGATTGATTTAATGCTACTTTATGGATATAAACAAGTAATATCTCTGTACACTGTAATGGACAATAAATACTGACCCTGAAATATTCAAATACAATGAATAGGTAGTCAAAACATATATATTTAACTTGCAGTTTCTGAGTCTTGAAGCTTCTTAAAATATTTGTTTCTCTATAGCCACAAGGGACAGAAATTTTTATATTAAAAATTTTGGACTCTAGTAAGACTATACCCCCCTTAGTTGAGACTACGAAAATACTGTTGGACCTGGGATAAAACATGAAGAGTGGGAAATGCAACACACAGAGGTGGCCTTCAGCTCTGATTATCAGTCTCCTAGAAGTGACTGATTGCATAAAATGTCTGAAATCTCAGCTAACACATTGTGTAATCGCTTAGCAGCAGATAAGGATCCTGGGCTGTAAAATGGGTATCCCTAAACAACCCTTACAAATAAGGCCCATGAGGAGTTTCTCTCTCATTCAAATCCAAATGCCATAGCTCTAGTGTTTTTGGTTTTATTCCTTCCCATTCCCATGGGCCCTTTTGCTTTCTCCCAGGCTGAGCTAATTTCACTGTTAACTAGAGCTGCCTTTCTCCCACACTCCCATAGTTCCCTACAGCAGCCAGACAGAAGGGCAAAGGACTCTGGTGGGTATGGCTGGCACAGAGGTCGCCATGGGCTGTTTCTAAATACAGGCTTGGAAGGGAAAACAGCAGAAACGTTTATAGTGAATATGTTATTACAGACTTCTTCATTAATCACGGAGCAGCTCCAGGAATGTTGCTTGGTGGATCTTGCCACCCTAGAAACCTTCCAGAGGCACTTTGGGAATTTGTCAAAGATTCCACCAAACTTCTGACCGAGCAGCATACCTTGGACCTGCATCCAAATCTCAAGTGTAGTCAAAAAAAGCTGAACTTACCTTAAGTCCACTGGAATTTATAACTAGCAACAGTTCTGTTTTCCTTACCTACACCAGAGGTTTATGCTGGCTCAGCTGTCCAGGAAAGTAGTCATGCATTCATGGAACCAGGTCAAATTCCCATTATAGGCAGAACCAAAAAAGTCATAGCCATCACCCTCATAGCTGCAGCCTCTTGTCCAAGGTCAGTTGGATTCAGTTTCTCCCCCAAACTTGTTAGAAGTCGGACAAATTGCCGAGAAGCTTTGAGAGAACTGATTGCTCCTCCCAGGACTGCCGAAGTGAGAGCAAGCAAGCAAGAATCAGTCATCCTAGAGGAGATGGCAGGGCAGGCAGGGAGTAATCACTCAGATAACCTGTTTTCCTTTCTTCTTCCACTTTTTAAAAGGGACATTCATTCTGTGCAGTGTAGCAGAACCAATTACACAACATAGGTTTCAACCCTCTAATTACAGTGGATGCTTCTGCCTCAATATTGCTGGAGGGAAACATTCATGCAGTGAAGCCATGGTATCTGTAACAACAACATGACGTGCCATGTAGATCAAATACTAATTCATGGCTAAATTTTAGTGTCACCCTTCCTGGTGGTAATTATACCTTACAATTAAAAAAGAATCATCACCAAGGCTGTGTACAAACAAAACATTTTCCTATGAAGCAAGAAACTCCATAAGCAAAATATTGTAACACTTGTTAATAATCTATAAAATATATTTTCAAAAAGGCTAATTATTTTAAGGGCCAAAGGATAAAGCTTCTGTGATAATGAATAGTCTAATCTTTCATAACTGGAAGTGGGTCAACAACAAATTAAATTACCCAGCCAGCATGAAAAAGATGAATTGCAGGGAAATTAGAAACTGCTATTAAAATAGATTTCCAGCCTCTCTTGCCAACCCACATGGAAGGGAAAAAACAGTAGTATCAGGATGTCAGTGTCATGAAAAAGAATTAGGCAGTGTCATGCTGCTTTCCAGTTTCTGAACTGCAGTGTTATATGAATCAAAGAGATAAAATTTACACCAGGATAGTAAGATATAGAAACAACAGGAAAGTTATAGCAGCCAGTTATGGAATTCTTTCAGTATGGATTTTATTGAAAAAATATGAGACACATAGCTTGAAATTAATTCATGTTGGTGTCGAATCTTAACAGTAATAACTTTTTCACTTTTTTAGCACTTTTTTTAAGTCAAGAGTGTCTCATAACATTTTACTGGCTTTAAGTAGGTGTCAAATCTACTGGAAATTAAGTTCTTCTACAGGGCTGCACTGCAATGCTGGGAGGGAAATGAAGCACTCTTAGGCCCCAGCCATGTCCTGTCAAAGTATGGGTCAGAAGTGCAGCACCTGGGGAGCAGGGCTGCTCTTACGCTGGTATTCCCTGTAGGTAGAGCAATGTACCTGGGAGGTGGAAGAAAGGGGAGTGAGGTCTGTCTGTGTACTCAGTGGCTCTGGTTTATGCAGATACGGATGTATACTAGAAGTGAAGCGTACACAGAAGCCTCATGATATCAGGACCTGTGTACCGCCAAGTATTATGACACCTTGTGTGCTTTAAACGCCAATTATAACTGTATTAAAATGCATACCTCCAAGATTAGAAGATCAATAACAAATCTATACAAGAATATCCGTGCAAGAACAGTCATGAGAATATAAAAACCTGTCTTTGCTCTAGCTAGAGATGATGTTGCAAGACTATCCAAAGGCTTTATCCCATTTTGCTATGATTTTGCTTTGGAAGAAAATAGCCTAATACTCAAAGCATTCTGATTTTGATAGAGCCATTTATTTTAAAGTAATGCAGCTCTATCGCTGCTTCTCTGAAGAGCACTATTTATTAAGATTGTGAAGTCAATACCTCAAATCCCAGCAATAAGGCTGCTTGTACTTTGTGATTTGGGCTTTTGGTACCTACGTATTATGATGTTGTCTTTAATTACATTAACACATCCTGTTGTCTGCAAGGAATCCTGTTCATGCAATCACCGGGAAGCCGTTCAGTATTCTTTTTGCCTTCCTTACTCAATGAGTGGATTCAGGTCTTAGTTAAAATGCCTCCTCCACATCAGGTTCTGCTTATGGAACTGTTCACTTGAAGTGATGGACTAGCACTAACTTAACTACAGCGTTTGAAGGCTTTATTGTAAATATTGAGGTATTGCCTTAAAAAGATAGAAGACCTGATCTCTGCCAGCCAGTTTGCATAATGTGAAAGAAGGCTGCTATACAATGCACATGAAACTAGTGCAAGCTGGGCCAAGTACAGATATCATGCATGGGCCATTTGTTGGTTTGAAGATGATTTTGAAATTCAAATGTAGTTACACTGGAAATTTGCAATACATCTAAATAAAATTCTTCTTCCTAAGGAGGAAAACTCAGAAGGAAGCAAATAACTTTTCTTAATGATAACATTCAGTCCTGGTGACATTTCAAGCCTAGCCTGTCAGTAATTGACTTTGAAAAAAGCAATGCCTCTCACAGTAGCAGAAGCAGCAGCAGGAGGAGTCTGTGACTTTTTTGTAGAATGAGGTATTTGAGGTTAAGAGACGATGAGAAACAAGAAATAGCCTGAAGAAAGGACAATACAGTTACATCCCTTCCTCTTCTTTCCCTCCCCAGTTTGAATAAATTGGCAGCAACAAGTGTTTCATCACAAGGAAAATCCCAGTCATACGACCTATTTTCACCTAATTATGTGACCCACCCTTCCCCTCCCCCTACTAGAGGGATTTTTTTCCATTTACTCACACATGCCTTGGAAATCATGACACGTGCCGAAAAGCAGTGCCTCAGTGAGATCTGCTGAGATAAGTGCCTTGGCTCATGAAGATCTAACAATGAATTTTAATAGGGGCTGATAGGATTATTCACCTAATGTCCATTTCTGGTTTACCTATATGACATAGGGATAGGCAGCATTAAATGGTGGCTTCTTTGTATTTAGTACTCCCAGCATCAACTGAAAAGAATATGACATGCACGGGCCCAATAAACGGGTGCACAGAAATGTAATGATAGCACCTAAAAATGGGTGCTACCTGCTGGGACCGTATCAGTTTCTATTTCAGTAGAAGATTGTGATGGCTTCACTCTTCTCTGCCACCACCTGGGTACATATTTAGAAGGAAGTGAGTAAAAGCTATAACCTCTACCTTCGGCACAAAATCACACAAGGAAGTCACTTATAAAAAGGGAAAAAACACAGAAGCAGCAGGCAAGGTGCCTGAACCTTTCTGCAGTTAAGGGCAGTTCCCACAGGTAGTATCTATGATGGAAGGGTGTTTCTGGAGGTAGCTGCTAGGGAATTGGTTATGTTTGGACCAGAAGCCGTACCTTAATTTGGCTCATTTTTTCCTTTATGTCAGCCTCCTCACATTGTTTTCAAGATCTCTAGTGAATAGCTTATGATGGGCAATTTCTCAGTGAACCTGAGAATCTAAATCACCAAACATATCTAAATCACTAAATCCCCACTAATCCCATCACTACACTGAGTCACACGGTAGCAAAAAAGCTTAGTTACTATAAATGCTAATAGTATGGGGACAGACTTTCTTCTCTCAAAGCTTCTAGTGTGAGCACTTTAAAAAACAACCAGTAACCACTGGTAATATTAAGACCATTAAAAGCTCAGCCCTATTGCAGATAGTATAAAGTGGGCAGGACTAACAAGCCTCTATACTTCAGGTACCAGATACTGAAATCCATCAAACAACTGGTTTTACCCCTCACTCCCATAGGGAAATGCTAAGATGCAAAAGCAGTTTATAGGTCTACAGGTAGCTTAAAATAGCTGTAAAATCTCACAATATAGTCATTATGATGCTAAAAAAAAAATCAACCAGATGCAATTTCTTCACCTGATAGGACAGCAGAAAAACTAGCAGAAATACTAAAGTGTATCTTCCTATTTTTCAATACTTCTTTCCTACGGCCCCTCTGAAACAGCTATCATATTCATAGAAAACTAAAAAAAGAAAGTGAAAAACAAGAAAGGTTTTCACGTAGGGTTCATTGTGATTACTTGTGACAATGCAGGGTAACCATTGCAGACAAAGTGTGACTAGTAAATTGCTGATATTGCTTAATATGTTTTACTTCCGAGATTACCATGACCCCACTCACTGCAAGGAACATTATCATGCACAGTGCTATATCAGCACAGGAGCATCAGAGGACAGTTGTCCCCATTACTTAGGCAAGGTACTGAAATGCAGGAGAATTGAGGGAGTGCTTAAGACCACGTAGGAAATTTGTGGGAGAGCAGGCAATTCAATCAAACGCTCCCAAGTTCCACTTTGGTCTTCTTATCGCTTAATCAACTCTCTCCCAGCTACTTCAAACCATGCCACCGCATAGCCATTTTCAGCCATGCCATTTTTTTTTTCCTGTCCATATCAAAAAACCACTGAGCCAATTGGCTAAAAGGGATGTCATTCAGAGGTAGGAATGAAGGTCTGAGGAAAATAAAACAGAAAAGAACATAAGGACAGAACTGAAAAGCAAGTGGCCTGCTATACAACAGTGCAGTTCAGAACAACAGCCAGAAAAAAATAAACTTGCCTCTGTCTTAGCGTAACCTGTTAAACTATATTTGAATTCATGATTGTGATGCTAAGTGCTCTGCGATGGTCAGTGCCACAGAGTGTAGCCTTTTTTCCTTAAGAAACTATTTAAAGTCTGCCCTTCTTGTTCATGTTTGAATGATGTTGGAATCCTGAGGCAGTCTCAGCAGCACTGCTCCCATTCAAAACTTTCTGAAAATATTTGTATGGTTTCCTTTGTTGTGGGACCCTAAAGCCTTCAGTCCCTTGTACTGCATATTTCTACTTAAGGAAGATCGGTAGGTTTAGATTCTTAAATATTTCTGGGAGTGCTCAGAGTAGCAATTACTTCAAAATACTTCTGAAGGGGCGACAAGGCATACTCTGCACTCCCTTCCATGCTGGGCGGTCGGCTATATGATCTCAGGCTCAGTCCTGAAGGACGCTGCTTGATCTCCTGCTAGCAGAACATCTGACTCGCAGCCACGGCTGCTGCTCTCCTATAGAGGGAGTTACGTGGCAAAGACCATCTCCTCCACGCTTGCGTGGATATGGCCTCATTACCGGCACCTACAGCCTACCTCATCTCTAGCTGCGGGGAGTGTATGAAAGGACAGGCTCTTCAGGAGTTTCACAAGTGAAACTCTAGAGGTCCTTACATGGCTCATGGCTGTTCAGTTTGGTTTTGAGAGACCTGCATCTGCCGGTCACCTCAGTGGTCAAAGGAGCAAAGGGAAGAATGCTTTGCCTCCCTGGCTGCCCTGTACTGGGAAAGCGTAGCTGTGAAAGGTCCCAGCACAGGGACAAAGTGCCAGACTGAGCTGTCAGTGTGGGTGGGCTGCAGGAGGCTTGCTCTGCATTGCAAAATGCAGCCAGTTCACTGAAAGGATCGTTTCGTCATCCTACTACATGAGTCAACAGAGATGGTTCTTTTTAATGGGGCTGTTCTATAATACATGAGTCACATATTGCTAACGGCCATCTATTTTGCTTTTGTAGGTAAACCACGGGCTATTACCCAGCAGTGAATTGGCTCAGAAAAGCAATGCCCTATTTATAGAAAAGTATGAGACCAAATTAAAAAAAAAGTAAAATATGTATATTTACCATTGCTTAGTTTTCCTCTTTGCCTTCAACTAAGAAAGCTTTCAATAATACACGATTTAAAAGAAAAAAAAGGTTACTAAAGGCGTTTTGAGGGACGCCAAGAACATTTGAAATTATTTTCATCTTTCACATTTGCAGACAGTGACGACAACATCCACTTCATGGTCAAACCATTTCCGTGCCCTCACAAGAACTTCATTTCTGCTGGGAGGCAGAATCTGGTGACCGCTACTTCTACCCACGTCGCTGTGTTTCCTCCCTCTTGGCACAGCGATAGGTATTGTGTGAAACCCAGCAGAGCTGCGAGACTGCGGCTTGGTTTTTTTAAGAGGATTCTCAGCAGGGCCCGCTCTGCTGAGCATTGGTACTTTCCTGGTAGTTAACAGAGCACAAATAGTGAGGGTCAGGTGGTGAAACACAAAGTGACTACAGACAGCTTGAGCCTCATTTTCTGATGGTGGGGTTTGCTATTATACTATGTGTTCCCGCATGGTCTGTTGATACAGTTTACTTTAATACATGTAAATAGCAACCAGCTACCATGGGTATGATGACATCAAGTGCTAAAAATATGCTAAAGTGGCATTTGGACTTAGTGCTGTATACTGATGCAACCACTACCTTCTTGTGCAAGGCTACCAGGTCAGGAGAACGGAACGGATACCGACCAGCTGGGGGGAGCACTGTAGGGAACACTGCATTGGCACTGCTTCCACGTGTTACAAACAGCACTTGTGGAACCTGGTTGCGTTTTGGAAAAACTGTGAAAACCGGTAGTTTTCTCACGGCATTACTCGGCACACGGCACTTTCTGAAAAAAACCTATAGCTAATCACTCTGCAAGTTGTTTTTGGTAACAGCTTTAAAGTTGATCGTTCTATGAAAGCACAATGGTGGGGCTGAAACTCATTTTCAATGCTGGGCAATGAAACGGGACACAATCATTAACTGTCATCTGACAGAAGTGTTACTGGACGCTTCCCCAACAGCCTAACAAACGAGTCCTACATCAGGGGCCCATCTCGGCTGAAAGATGACGCTTTGCCAGACAGTTTCTTGGCAAAAAGCAAAAGCAGATAGCTGACTGATCTCCTGCCATGTGAAGCTGGATTCAAACTTGTTTTCAAGAAAGGGCAGCTCAACAATTTTAGATTAATGGAGGACTTTGGTTTGGTATTAGAGATGCCTTTGAAATTTTGGGTGTGCTTCAGTGCTGCCTCTAATTTTTTATTTTAGCCTTTTTGTCATTAAAAACTAGCTCAGGATGAACCCAAGTGCAGAATCAGACCTTTGGTTGAAATTCACTGATATCAATTCTGTAACATCTTAGCTGTCACAGAGCACCTCTGCAAAATAGCGTGCATCTACTCCCCATCATCATTTTCTTCAAGAGATGACCACAGTTTTTGGACATTACTGAATATGGTAAACCCTAGGCTCACGTTATGCCAAAGAAGAATTACCATGACATCTAATTCAAAGTAATAAAAATCACAAACGACATAAAGGAACCTCAAAGAAGCAATGTTTAAAAAAATGCATTTTTTAAAATGACACTTTATAGTTATACTTTAGGCTTGCTTGGGTAGCTATTTTACAGAAAAATATTTAGATTATTTATTAAGGCACATGGAAGTCAGCATGTGATCCTTTGAACACTAGCTGTTTAGAAGGACAAGAATCAGCATAAGCTTTGAAATCACTGCTACACACTAACGAATCAAGTGAGTCATCGATAGTTTTTGATATAATAGTCTTTCATTGCTATCTCAGTTTTGCCTGTGGCCTCATGACTGATTTTAAAATCTTGATAGTGAATTTGAGAGCGGAAGGTGGAAGAGGAAAGGGAGAGGTGCACAGGATCCCTATTCCAACAGGAGAATGTTGGATTCCTATCAGGAAGGAAGATGCTGTGGATAAGTGAGAAGGATCAGAAGGACACTGCTAGAAAACAGTGTTTAGCCTGGAGAAGAGATGGCTTTGGGTGACCTAGTAGCAGCCTTCCAGTAACTACGAGGAGGTCACCAAGAAGCTCTTCACAGCAGTGCATGTCAGGAGCATGAGAGCCAACAAAATGGAACAGAGGTTCAGACTGGGCATAAAGAAGAACCCTGAAGACAGCGAGGCAGTGGAACACGCCCAGGGAGGTTGTGCAGTTTCCATCCTTCGTGGGTTTCAAGACCCGACTGGATAAAGCCCTCAGCAATTTGGTCTGATCTCAGATGACCCTGCCTTGAGCAGAAGGTTTGACTAGAGACTTTCTGAGGTCCTTTCCTAACTCAGTTACCTTATGATCCTATGAGTGGTAGAACACGTGCTATTTCATACTGGGAAAGAAATGGTAAAGGGAGAGGGAGACAGGATGAATAAAAGGGATGAAGACACAGATAGAGACTGCAGCAGCTCCTCGTAAAGGCAGGGATAGAAGACTGTTCATGAGAAGGTTGTTGAGGAGCACCAGGCAACGTAAGCAGTGACTAACAGATCCAGTCTGTAGTAGTACTGAATGAGCACAGCTGTGTCTACAAAGCCAAAGCCTAAGGCAAAGCCTGTCTTTTGGACAAAAGAGTTTACTGACCGGTTCTGGAAGCCCATCCAGGTTCCTCAAGACTACCAGTGCTCCTGGTCAGGAGACAGATCATGACTCAGAAGTGGAAGATCAGCCGCTTGTCTTCCTGAAACCAGATGTTGGTCCTTACAGAAGAACTGTTTACAACAGCAATTTACTTCTACACATAAAGACCACTCAGGCCACACCTCCGGGTTGCCAGATATTATGTTACAATTTAGTGGTGCAGTGAGATGTTGCCTCACAAGTTTCCAGGCAGTTACATGAAAATATCTTCATTTTTTCTCCCTTTTCATTCTGACTGTGAAGAACAACTTGAGAACAACACAAAGATAACAAAACCAAAACAAAATGTATAAAACGGCCTTATTTTCTCTTAGGATTTCACTACTTTTTTAGCAGTCTAAAATTCTGGTTGGCCTCATTCCACAGCTTTTGGGGGAAGAGCCAAGGGGAGGAGGGGATGCTGCAAAAGGTAGTGCTGGCATGCTCCTGTTCGAATCAGAGGCTGCGGGTTTGGGCTGAGTTGGAATTGTCTGCGGTTTTTATTTGATTGAACTCCAAGAGCAGACTGGCCTGTGACCACTATCCATGGCACCCACCCAGTTACTAGGAATTCTGAAACTTACCGCCTGTCTATTCGTTTTCAGAGGGATGCAGCAGAGGAACATTTCAGTACTTTAAGCCCACCTGTCTAGAAGAACCAGGCTCTGTGAGGAAGCTGGGTTTTCGGTAAGCTGTTAAAGCAAAGACATACCGACCCACCACAGGAGAACTACATTACACCAAAACCCAAACTAAACCTTATGCATTTTATCCTCATTTTCCATTCTGGTTTGGGTTTGACCAGGAAATTCTTATTGGAGGTACTGCTCATTTACTTCAATTTCACAAAAAATCTTCTCAGTCTTTTTATACACTTAGAAATCACAGTACCCAAAAAGGTTCATGTATTTTCTTTGGGACAGTTTTTATTTTTTTTTTTGCTACAGTATTTAAATTACAAGCTTGGGTGATGGTTTCAAACACAATTACTCCTTTTGCTAAAGGAAGCTTAAATTTGTTACAAATAGTTATTAGTCTTTTCAGATGGTCTTGGTTTTACATTAGAGTACAAAGTAAGCAACCATGTTTTCTTAGGAGGGTAACATCCCTTTTGGTTATCGAGTGGAATAGTACCCAGTCACACAAGAATCTGGACTTCCAATCTACTCTGCTTATTTGATAGTTCAAGCTTGTCCTTTACTCCCCAAAACCCTCAACAAGAGTCTGCCTTCTCGTTAGGCTACTTCCTTCTGCTTGTCACCAGGGCTATGCATTTTCCAAGTATGAAAGCAAAGATATTGGAAGAATTTTAAAACATGAGCTGTATCTAGATTACCAACTTCTGCTGGCATTTCTGGGCTGTGGAATATCTGCTTCTTTACTGACACTGTTTTGAAAACAAGCCTGTAGTATAGCGTGGCTATGCTACAGCACGGTGCTTTTCTTGCTGTAGTTTATGCTGTTGGGGGTGAGGGTGTTAATCATGTCATCAGAAAGCTCTTTTTGGCAGTGTATGCTGAATCTACATCAAAAGTCTTGTTGATTTTGCTCTATTGTGAGAATCTCTTAAAAATAATTACGTTCAAGGAATAAACTGGACAGTGGGGCTTTCTAGTAGAGTGCTCTAAGTGATTAAGTGGCCACAACTTCTTTGAAGGTACGCTACCAGCCTGAAATCCAATTGTATTTTAAGAAATTACTTTGAACTACTGACAAGTCCTGAACTGTTCCCTGAATTTTCTTACCAACTACAAATGGTTTTACACTGGCATAGTATGTTTCCCCTACAGCCATAAAGATAGTGGTAGGGAAGGAAACAGAATAAATAAAAACTTATACACAAAGGGATTTAAAATGCACAAAGCTGGGGGGGGGGGGGGGAGGCCATTTTAGGGGGGGGGGGGAAGCCTTTTTCCTCTGTTTTTTTCCTGCTTACACCAATCATTGCTATTGCTCAGTATTATTTTACCTCAAAATGCTCAGACAAGAGGAATAACTGGTCAAATCAACTTATTTGTTTTTGCTTGGATTTACCTGACTGTAAGATCTTAACCCCTCAGGTCACCCTGGCAGAAGCAATGTCAGCAGCAATCTAAAGAGAACAGAGCACATAGGAAGGCCAACATCAGGCCCACCCACACACTCTTTGGAGTTCAACACAAAGCAAGTTTTGCTAAGTTGGTAGCTGCAAGTTTGATAACCTACTACAGCCCACACAAACTACTTGCACTAACAATTGTTCCATGAAGCAAGAATTAATACCATCAGCTTTTTATAAAGGGAGACAGACATTAGATCCAGATTCAATGACTTGGTTGCAACTGAGCAGTGAACAGCTCAGATCAGGAGCCGGGCAGCCTGTGCATATGTGACCCTTCCACTCCCTCAAATCCTGAGAGACTTTGCAGGTGTGGTACCTTGGCATAGGGTGGGAAGGCTGGAGAGATGCTCCAAGTTACAACACAAGTGTAAGATAGCTGAGTTACACAAAATGCCTGGCCGCTCACTTTTCATCAGGTACATGTTGGTAAAGTGGTGCCCAGCCTCTTCATGATCTTCTTGTAGGCAGTTCTTTGCACTGAGAAATTAGCACATGCCAGCATTTGGACCACTGATTTTAAACTGAGCTGCTTATTAAAAATTGCTTTGACTTTAAATAGCTTTACAGTTTTAAATAAAATAATTATTTAAAAATAGTTTTAATTAAATGAACCTAGAAGTAGAGGATCTTTGATCTCCCTATATGATATACTTTTGAATAAATAGTTCTATACCTACCTCTTGATCTTTTTTGGTGATGAAGTGCACAAAAATGTAAAAATATTTTTTTAATCTGAAATCAACCGTTGTCTCTTCAGGAATAAACTTAATATCCTGGAACACCCAATGTTACAGAAACCCAAAATATATTCTAAGTACATAGTCACTATAAATACATATTTTAACTGAATGCATGCTTTTTAATTACTCTGTAAATTACCAAAAAAGAAAATTAATATTCTCTTTAAAAGAAAAATTAAATAAATAAAGCCAGACTTCAAATAATAAACTGAACCAGCCAGTAACACTTTAAAATACAAAAGTGTCTTTCCCTTTCTCCTTTAGATTAGCCCAGCATTATAATAGTCTGAGGACAACAAACAAAAAATATACCAAACTACCGTTCTCAAATTCCATTCTGAAAGCAAAATTTTTCATTAATTTGGGCATTTTAGATTTGCTAGTTTAATATAAAGCTGCACATGAGGCTCCCTAAGGTATACATAAAGTAAACCTCTGCAGTGAAAGCAAAAAGAGAAATCATACATGCAACTTATTCTAGGAAAAAAAAAAAAAAGTGATTTTAACTTTCACTTTTAAAGCCTGTTAAGTATAACAGTACGTTAGGAACAATCAAGCTCACTAGAGGGACAATTTGCTTGCAAACGCCAGAAAGCATGATCATTTAATGTTATAATTCTGAGCAATATCTTGAAGATTGCATTTCATAGTATTTTACAAAATAACATTCTAAACCTGAACATACTGCATCATACAACGTTAGTAAGCAGGAAATCACGGAGTGGAGTGAAGTGAACCCCTCAAAAATGCTGTTTCCTGAGGTGTAACTGTTTTGCACTAGCACCTTCAGCAGGGCTAGGCCATTATGCTCTGTGCAATAACAGTTGCCACATTTTGACCAGAGTGTGGGCCAAAGGCCTTGCGATTCTAATTCTCACCTACACAGCCATGTCAGCGTTTCTCTCACATACCACACAGGGAGGGCTGAGCACCGCGTGATAGAAATATCCCTTTAAAGTGATTCTTCGTACCGATTTAAATTTGTTCGTATAGCTGATTGATAGAAAAAGAACAGATTTTACAATAGAGGTCTCAGAACTGCAGGGCAAATAGATGCAAATGTGCTTTATCTGTTGGAACGAGTGCCCCAGACTACTAACATGCCGTGGATCTGCAGCGAGCCTCTGGATCTCTTCTGTTGGATCAGTCCCACTTTACATCAGCGTTCCCTCATTGAGACAGGCTGCGACCACACAGTTCAGTGATCCTGTGCACTCATCTAGGATGAATCAGACGTGAGCCCTAATTGCAATAAAAATTCTCAGACAAAGGCAAGGAACATTATTCCCCATTTATGGAGGAGAAGCTGAGGCACAAAGTGATTACTGCAAGTCAGTGACATAGCTGGACAGAAAACCCAGTTAGCCCCACACCCACTACCAGGTGCTTTAAAATTGGCCAAAGCCACTTTACTGTTTAATGCAAATAATTTACCAAGCATCTTACTTTTGTTCCTGTGTTGAGCGAGACCAATGATCTCATTTTTTAACCTTCCATTTCTAAAACAGCCCACACAAATACTGGGAGTAAAGTTCCAGATAATTTAGTGAAATCTGCCAGCAGATTTATCCCACTCGTGATATTCACCATAAGCTGTAAGATACAGGGTCAGCCTGTTAACCACCAAATGAGGGCTCCATGAATGCCACTGCACTCTTCTCACTCCACCCAAATAATGACATGGCTCACCAGGAGAATTAAAATGGAGGAAAATAGTAAGACTTAGAAGAAAAATAATGTTTCCATAAAACACAGACTTATTGCATGATAGCTGGAGGCAACACCTTTGCACAAACAGCTGTAAATTAAAGCTGTCCTTCTACTAAGCTTCCAGAGATTGCTTACACAACGTGTGGCAAGGGGAGAGCACATAGAAGACAGTGACTTTTCTTCTTTCTTCTTCACTTGCTCAACTTGTCGAAAAGCTACTTGCCTACTCTCAAAAGAGTGAAGAGAATTTTTGTTCTCCCATACCACACTGCTACAGCTTAAGATGAGAACATTTTGCCACCTGATTGCTAAACCAGGAGGTTTTTTGTTTCTAAGTAAAAGTGTAAGTACATCACCAAATACACATCACTTGCAGGTGGCAAGTGTTAGAGAACTTGAAGTTTTTCTATCCTCTCCAGGTTACTGGTGAGCTCTGAATGTGCTGTCTCCACTCATTTCAACTACGAGAAGGCTATCCAGTGCTTAAGTTCTTCCACACGCTGCAGTATCTGGGTATAATAGAAATCCATGTTGGCTGCAAAATTAGTACACACAGGGGATTCTTTGTCACCAAAGGTGCAGTACAATGCAGTTCCTCCAATGCTAAGGAAAACAGATGCTATGCACAGCAGGATCAGCAAAATACAGGAGCCACCAGCTACTTCATCTGTGAATATAAGAGCAGAAAAGGTGAAAAAGGATGATCTAAAAAGCAATGTGAAGGCGTGTGAGAAAATCTGAGATTGGTTTTTACTGTGAATGGGTCAGGAGGTAAACACACTTAATAATGCTCACCATGTCAACAAGACCATGCTACATACCAGGAACTGGATGTTTCTCTATCCAGTCTTTTCAGAAACTTAAGTAATTATATAGCTTCATTTCTGCAACCTGCACACCTGTCCTTGCTGATACCACTTGCAGAGCCATTCCACGCAAAAGCAAAATACACTTAACTATGAGAATGTTACACAACCAAAGCCTTCCTTCATGGAAATAGTTGAAATGAAAGCTTTGAAACTAAAACAAATGGAAACATTCTTGCTTCGTTTGTACTGACACTGACCGTGCTACCATGAACTGCTTGGGCTTACTCTCACATTTTGACTGTAAGGAGGGAGACAAAACCTTCAGGGTAGGCCAATGTGAAAGGTTATTTTATGTCTCAGTTATTCTGTGGTAACTCTTTGCATGATTGTTATTCCAGAGTAAGAGCAATAAAGAGGCTGCAGAGGTGCTGCTACATGCTCACAACCTCGCTTGGCCCTGTTAACTTGTATGCATAGAATCATAGAATCATAGGTAGGGAAGTGATCGTGCCCCTGTATTCAGTGCTGGTGAGGCCGCACCTTGAATACTGTGTTCAGTTTTGGACCCCTCCCTACAAGAAAGAAGTTGCCTTGCTGGAACATGTCCAGAGGAGAGCCACAAAGCTGGTGAGGGGTCTGGAGCACAAGTCTTACAAGGAGTGGCTGAGGGAACTGGGGTTGTTTAGTCTGGAGAAGAGGAGGCTGAGGGGAGACCTGATCGCCCTCTACAACTACCTGAAAGGAGGCTGTAGCGAGGTGGGGGTCGGCCTCTTCTCCCTGGTAACAGGTGATAGGATGAGGGGAAATGGTCTGAAGTTGTGCCAGGGCAGGTTTAGGTTAGACATTAGGAAAAATTTCTTCACAGAAAGGTTTGTCAAGCTCTGGAGTGGGCTGCCCAGGGAGGTGGTCGAGTCCCCATCCGTGGAGGTATTTAAAAGACGGGTAGATGAGGTGCTTAGGGACATGGTGGGATGGCAGTGTTAGGGTAATGGGTGGAGCTGATGATCTTAAAGGTCTTTTCCAACATGAACAACATCTGCATCTTCTGTCAGACTGAGGAGGCTCTAAGAAAATTTCTGAACTCCCTTCACTCTACAACAGGGAGAAGAAACAGGGGAGAAGACCTAAAAAGGATGAAACATTCGAGTACTTTTTTGTGTGTTTGAAATCAGATTTAAAATAATAATAATCAACAAGAACTTTCCTTTTGAATCTCTAAATCCCTGGAAAAAAAAATCATAGAAGAAACTCTAATTGAAATTTTATTTAAAACAAATTATTTTCAAATAATTTCAGGAAAAAGATAGGCTAAGCTCCCTTTCGGGCAGTGAATGGATTTTATTTTCAGTGTATGAGACACTTAATAAACTTCTAAGCAGTAAAGACCTCCATTAATAGCCTTTAGTGGCTGGAACACACAATAGCTATAGAAAGCTGTATCAAGAACCAAAAGTATTTTTCTTAGCATCTCTTTAGTTTGAATTATAGAGATCTTAAACTCCAAGAAAAGCATAACAAAATAATATACTGTATTTTTTATGAGGCTATTTAGCCCATCAAAAAGGCAGTCAGGTGTTTAGCCAAATGTAATGACAGCTAGCAAATATATATGGATGTTTAATTATAAAGCAAGGTTAAAATCTGACACTCTCCAATCCCATGGTCTACTAGAAAGGGTTGGAAAGCTACCTACAAAGCACAACAGGCTTGTTTCCTTTGCATCACTCTTTACCTCCATGGATTAGATTTAGGAAGAAAGCCTATGCCTCTCACCTCTAAGCTCTAAACTTTAATGAAAGGATGTCTGTTAGATGTCACTTGCAAATCATTCAGCCAGAGGAAAAACCCTGCAGCTTCAGTCTCAAACAAGCTTTAAAACAGAAGTGGACTTATTGTATCCTTCTGTAGCCCTGTTCCCCAAACCTGGTATAGAATAATCTATCACTGTCACTTATTACTTGATCAAGTTTTAAAAAGCCAAGACAGTATTGTACAACAAATGCCCACTTTGCTCTTGTGAACAAAAAGATCAACACCCTTTACACCCCAGGAGTGCAACCCATGAATTAACAGCTTTAAATTACCTTGATCCAATGTGTCTTCCATTTCTTGGAATCGCACTCTTCTCTTCGTTTGCCTTTGCTGGGCTTGAGCAATTGTTTTTCCTTCCCTGTCATCTCTCTTCTTTAGTATGGACACCAATCCTTCTGCTGGGGCAATCTATCAGGAAAGACAGTGAGTGACATGAGAGAGGTGAGAAATCCAAGCATGAGATCTATTTAACAATGACTTTAAGGAGGAAACGAGATAAACAGTTAAAAAACTCCACTCCACTTCTCTTAAACATTGCAACACTTTTGAAACCTCCTCCTTCTTGAATACATCAATTCCTTAACATGCAGGACAGCTGCAGTATCATTTGGCAGTCTGCTGACTCTGCTTGCCCTTAATTGTTAGAGTTAAATACACATAAATTTACTGTTTGGATCAGACTTTGTATTCACTGCAACAGTTCCTTCGTAAGCTCAAGTTATTAAATCACATGGGTTGGGGCAGTGGTGAGAAGGGTTTGCATCAAAACCACCACCATCAGAGGGCAATAAGAAGTCAATGACACACTGTTGCTGCCTCTCCAAAGATAAAATCCTGCAGAGACTATCAAATACTTATTGTGAGATTAATTTTCCAGCATTGCAATTGGTTCCCCGGGGTGGACAACAAGCTACACTGGGGCCACAAAACCAAAAAGGGAGAACACCGGGGAAAAAGAAAGCTTCAGTGCTTTGGATGGATGCCAGCTCCACACTGTAATAAGCTCTCTGGATACAGCAGCAGTTCAAAAATCCTTCCCTACAGGCTGGTCACCCAAACACATTGCACAAACAGCGATACAGCCAACAAGTCAATAAACCGTAACCTCTCTTTCCTTTGTTACAGCATTTGGCCTAGCTGCAAGAGTACCTGCTAAGCTATAGTAGGGTGTTACACCAGCCTGAGCAGTCTGTAATTTCCTAGGTGTTAGAGAAAGTAGGGGAAGCATCAGGAAAAAAATGCTTTCCTAAGCAAGCAGTTCCCAGTGTGCTAGAAATAAACAGAAATTAAATAGGAAGCATAGTTAGACAGGCCCTTTTTAATCTTGATTTCATCTTTACCTGAAAAAAAGCCTTAGTCATCTCTTCATAAATCTGAGTAGCACTTTTTAAAACTTATTCTACAGATCAGCAATAACTTTTGTTAAATTGAAAAGTAATCTATACATTTCTGCTAGAGATAAGAGAACATAGTGCATTTGCAATGCGTTTACAACTCATCTATGTAGCAGATGACCCCGAATGCCTATAATTTTCACAAAAACTCAAAATGGGAGAAAAGCAGCTTTCCATGTAACACTGTAGTTGCAGACAACTGACTGTTTAACTCTCCCCATAATCTAATCAAGTTACAAGCCCATGCACAGAAACCCGTTTGCAATGCAATTTTAAGAGCTGTAGAAAAAAACAAGTGACTTCATAACTTAGGCCCCTAAACTTACTTCATGCTACAAGCTTATATAATGCATTGATGCACACCGTAATCAGAGAGACGGTGCAATGAACACAGTGAAATGCTGAGCACAATCCAGTAGGCACTGTACCAACTATGGCGTTCGGCGTTCGCAACATTTTAACTGGTAAATGCAGCAATCACATCTGCATGTCTCCAGCCCGGCAGTATCTTACAGCCCTCAACTGGGCAAATAACGCTGCCCTGAACAACTCACACAGTTGGTCACTGTGGGTATATGCCCACAGTCTAACGATTTTTCCCAAAATCACAACTGAGAGGATAAAAGTGATCTCTGTCACACTTCCCCTTTTGATATTCATTTTCCTTTTTGATGATCTGCTGAAGTTTGAATGGATTATTTAATGCAACAATGCGATCAAGTACTTACAAAGTAGCGAAAGCGTGGAGGTGGTGGAAAGAAATTGTTTAAGTCAACATCTGGAGGCCCACTATTTGACACAAACGAACCCAAAATAATAGCCTGCAAGTGTCTGATCACAACAGACAAGTGCACTGGGGTGACGCTTCTACTGGTAATGCTGAATTAGCCTTGCAGAACTGCCATGAAAATTTATCAGGCCAGCCAGAAAGTCAACTTTTACACTTCCTTGTTGTGACAAGGAAGGGGGATCGTGTAGGAGTACATTAATTTGACTTATTTCTTTGGAAGGGCAGAGATGAAATTATGTCCTTTTAAAGAGCAGATTATTTTAAGCTGCTGTGTAGGGCACTGCTTTCATAAAGAGGATCAGTGGCTCCTCCCACACCACCCACGCAGCAGGCTAGCGGTCGCCTGGCATGTGTGTTCGCAAGTGGCTGGGACAGCACTTGGCAGGAACGTCACCCAGGGCGGCAGGTCGTTGGTGCCTCTTTGCCCTAAGAGCAGTATCCTGTGGCCTGCTCTGCAAGGAGTCGTTTCAAACTGAGACACTTCATTTTGTCTGTTGGCTATTGAGAGTTTTTGAATGACTGCATCATGAGCTCTGTCTTCTCCAAGCCTAAAACCAGAAGGCTATTTTTGACAGGATTATGTGGAAATGTGAGTTTCAGTGACTACAATTACGTAAAAGGCTTGAGAAGGGAAGTCTTGCTATGATGTGGATTGCTTACTTTCCCTGTCAGCCTACATGGCTGTGTTTCAGGATTTACTTATAAATGTGTAAAGAACTAACCAACACAGCACAGGTTTCTCTATTCTGAACATCATCTTTTGCTTAAAAAGGGGGAGCAAGGGTTTTTGATTTTGCAATAAAATCAGCATGGTTAGTGTACTCTCCTGTCCTGACAAAAACCATAGACCTTACTTTTAAGAATGTCTCCTTTACATGATATGTAATTCAAACCTAGAATATTTCATCTGCCTTTGAATTTCATGAATCACATAATTAAGGTTTTTGTTTTGTTCTGCAAAGGACCTACAAAGCTATGCCTCCTAATCAGGATACAGTTTATTGTTAAAATACAAACATACAGAAATCTGCATAAAGCAATATTTACACCTTCTTTTCTACCATATTGTCAACTGCAGCTCAAAAATAGTTAATGCCAGCATCACCACATTTTATTTTTCCTATTTTCAGTCATAAAAACATCACACTGTAAGTAAGAATGTCATGTAAGAATAGGGTCTGTCTTGCTACAAATAAACTCTCATTCAATTAAAACAACTGTAAATGTATTTTTCTATCATACCTTTGATTTAGAAAGATTTAAAAGCCATATAAAACCTGATTGTATTAGACCCATCTCCCATTAATTAAACATCCAAGGAGAGGAACTTAGCTGTCACGCAAGGCTTGAAGTTTTCCATCCATCCCAGTCTTTAGGAGGCAGGAGGAATTTAAAAAGGCAGAATACATTATTTAAACTGGAAGTTTACGAGGGAACTGTGGTTAATACAGTTGACCGCAAGTCAAGTCTCTGCTTGACTTGAGCCACAGCAGGAACAAAATGTAGGCTTGCACCAGGCTGCACTCCAACCAGCTCCATGTTACATAAGAGCGCTACATAAAGGACCCTATTGAAACATTGAACATTTTCTTAATTCTGAGTTGGGTAATTAACAAAAGATGCTTTTGGAGCCTCTATGGAACTGAGCTTACCCAGCTCTGCTGGCCTTCACAAAATCCTTTGACCATAGCTTTTATAATTACTGTACAGGAACTGAAAATGGCATACAGGTATGCGGTGGCATTTTGACCAACAGTCAAAAAGGAAAGCAGCAATGACTGGTGGTTGGTTGAAACTCTGTTAAATATTTTAGCTCTTCTCTTTTTACCACTATAAATACAAAGTGATTCTGCTTCACAGAAAAGTTTTAAACTTTTTTGGATAAAGTTTAATATCCTGGCTGCAAAATAAGAAAAAATCAGCTCTAATTAAACTACCTATCTCTTCTCTGTTTAAAACAGCATTTGCTAATAAAATACTAAAAAAAAAAAAAATCTTCTTACATTATGCATATTTTTGCCACATACAATGTATACATATTTATAAACATATTAGACAAAACTATGAAAATAAGGTCCTGTACTTCAAGCTCTTAGAGAAAATAAATTAAACTTGAATACTGGAATAATTCATAGCGTACAGAAGTAAGTAAAAACCCCAAAACCAGAGGTACTGCAACCTGGGATCTGGGAAGAAAAGTTCATTGTATGAAGTCTGAACACAGAGAACTACTCAAGGAGGAGTTCTGTTTGTGTATGCTTCTTTGGGCTGTATTCCTTAGTTTGTTACTTGGCAAAGGCCTACGGTTTTATTTCTAGCAATACCAGATTTTTTTTTAAAGCAGGAATCCATAACTGTATGACAAGCTGACAAAAAGCAAGACTGCCCTGGGCTAAGCAATAAGCAGCAGACAAACCCCTCTGCTAATAAAATACATTAGATACACGAATAATTTGACTTTGAAAAGGAGTTAACTTAGCAGATTCAATACTCACACCACAGCATCAGACTCTAACCATTCTTCTGCTAATATGCTTGCTAAGCAAGTACTGGGGTTCCTTTACACAGCAATAAACAGCTCAGATGCCGCGTAAGCATTTCATATGGAAGCTTAACTCTTGCGAACTCAAAACTACTGGACCCAAGCCATACAAGATAACAGGGGACCTCAACAAGGCGTTATCTCGAGACCTAATACAGATAGGTGAAGACAATTTCTGGAATCAAATCAGCTGCTGGTCAGTACATCCTCAGGACTTTTAAAAAGTCTTGGAGTACAAACAGTGCCAACTAGAAGTTGCTACCATCTGCTGTGGTAGATAGCCTCACTATCTTCCTTTTCTGAAAGAGATTTCAAATGATAATTTTCAAATAAGGAAAAACATGAAGATTTTACTTGTTTCCCTAATTGTCACTCAGATAAAAGGCCTATATTATAAAATTTTTTTTCATATGGCAAAATGCAACTTACATTATTTAGGTTACCATTTGTTTGACTGCTGGTGTGTCATTTCATTCTCACAGAAATGATAGCAGAGATCTAAGAAGAGGTTACACACTTCTACTATCTGTTGCTGCCAGGTGCTGACTATACTTCAAAGCTTTTTGTTAGCTGTATGAATCTAGTTTCTATAAAATGACAGTGATTTTCCATCATTTGCACGTTGTTGTGCATGGTTTGTACTAGTGAAGAAACACCCAGTATAAGGGACTGTGAAGTACTATTTTAGGTTTGCAATTATTTAAAGCCAGAGTCAGAATTTTGTGGATTTTCAGTATGTGAATTAGTTATTGTAAATGGTAGACTAAAAGCAAGTGACATAATGGATCGAAATTAGAGAACTACATGAGATGATTCTTTGATCTCAATATGGGGTCACACAAAACTTCCTAACTGTAAACACACACACACAAGTACTTACCCTCCCCCATTTTCAATACATTAATATTACACCTCCATTGAATAATATTAATGAAATTTGGTCTTACCATATGATTTTTGTACCAAGGTTATTTCAGAATAATCTTTACTTCTGCCTTCCATTCTAACTTATTTGTGGCAATTTTGTAAATACTTACTCCATGACAAGTTTTATCACAAATTGATTTATGTTTTGGTGTTTTTTTTTTTTTACTGTCACACTGGTACATTTCATGTAATTAATTTCATTTGTGTGGCTACCAATGCATTTTCTAGGTATTTCTTTCATAACTACCATATGACAACATCATCATCTTATTAGATGGCCATGACCTGAACAATGCAGCTTCAAAGGCTTCAGAAGGACAAGAAAAGAGGAAATATTATGGCTGGGTGCAAAGATCAGCCTGCTTGTCAAAACATCAGTGGAATCTTATTTTATCACTAAAACAGAATCAGTGAAAGCAAGTCAACAGTGCTGCTTTCTCAGGGGTGCCAAACTCTCTCAATTCCTGGTGTCTTCCAGGGAAGCTGTAGGTGCTCACCACTTCTGAAAAGCAACCCCTAGGGTAATGATAGGTGGTAAGATTAACTGGAAAAACAAAATATAAGTGTATAATGAAACTATACAAGCTGCTGCGCTGTCCTTAACTCACCCTGCTGCAGCTAGAGATTTCAGGTATTGCAAAACAACCCCAGATGCTGCATATTACAAATTTTAATCGGTATTGAGATTAATCCTTCTTCTTTTTCCCCTGATTTAAACCCCCTGCCTCACACACAACTCAGGCTCCTAGCTAAGAATGATTAAAAAGAGACTCTCACCAGTGCCTTATCTGGCCAGAAAGAGTACTATGGAAAGACTTAAGGCACTTTTTCCTCTCCAGACACTCAACTGGCCATCGGAATACTGGCACTCCCAGCATCAGGATAGAAAACTACAAATGAAAATAGATTCCCTGTAAAGCACCATGATCAGTCACTGGGCCAATCAATACAAGCATAATTTTTCTAACAGTATCAATATACTGTTTCCTGACCTATTCTCTAAAATGCAAATGGCACAAACATAGCAATTTAATACTTGCTGTAGGATTAATTTAGGATTTTTCTACATGAAACACAACAATTATCTCCTGTAGCTTAAAATGCTGAACTTTCAGTGGGCTCAAAATAAATCTAATCCTGAGGGATGATATTTAAATAACTCTTCTGTTATACGTATATAGCTTAGCACAGATTGTCAACAAAATGCTCTTTTTCAAAACCATTGTCTAAGTGAACACAAGCCAATGGATTTAGTGCAAAAGTTTGATTACATATATGAACATCTGCATGAGTTTCCACATCTGCATGCTGTCAAGAGTTTCTGTACAGCTTTGTGCACATGTCCCTCAGTCCTGATAAATGGTATGCTTGCTGACATCCCACAGAAATACAAGGTGTTTTAGGGACAGGTCAGGATGAATGACCTTGGAAAGGAGGTAAGAAGCTATTTAGGTGGGGAGAACAAACAAAATGCTCTGTTTCCAGCTCTGGAGATTTTGCCAAACAAGTCATAACATCAGCATGGACCCCCAGTATTTAGTTCCTGCTGTGCCTGAGTGATCGTGGGTTCTTGGCCTTATGTGCATTAGCTTCTGATCTATAGAGAAGTACTTGCTACTTTATTGCCAAGGGATGCTGTATTGTTAAATGCATTAAAAATAGAGATGAACTAAGAAGATACCTTTTACAAGTCTTGCCCCTCCAGCATCTGGAATCACATAATTTCACAATAATCTAATTCTTTCATTTAAAGAAAAAGCTTTTAAGGCACCATGGTTGCAAATGCACCAAAACCAGAAGACAAATAAAGCAAAGATGTCATCATATACTTTCCAAAAAAGTCCCAAAGCAATAAATATTCTATATTTTCAGAAGAGCAATTCAGCTTACGAAGCACTCATCCTTGTTGTGGCCTATCAGCACTGCTTCAGAAAGGTGGGTTCAGGCTTATAAGTTCCTTCATAGTTTTGGTTGAACAACAAAACTGCCTAAACTTGGCAAAATTAGAAGCCCATACAGTCATATAAAGAGTTTATTACATATGTAGTTCTCACCTATATAGAATAGGCACAGAAAAGTAAATTTTATTCTATGACTAGAAATGAACCACATTATGTCATAGGCATTATGTAGACCTCTGACATGAAATCGTAATTTAACAGGAATTGTCAGGCCATCTCCTAACAGTCTGTCAGAATAAAAAAAAGTGTTCACATTCATATGTAAAAATTAATCAAATTTTTAGAGAGACAGAGCACTGCTGGTCAAGGAGGATGCAAACAGGCAAAAAACCCCTTTTTTCTGAATTAACTCAGAACTAAGTAAGTAGAGATTTCAGATTAAAAAGAGTGATATATGAAGGAATATTTATCATATTTTGAAGTTGGCAATATCTAAAATATTTTGAGACAAACATGGAAGATGTTATAGGATGCACAATATTTACCTCAGCAATCTCTATCCTTCTTGCAAGTTCATCGAGAGAAGAAAAGCTGTCGTCTAGTGATAAAGCTTCCAGTGAGTTGTAAGATGCTTGTTCAGGTGAAATATCTGGAACAGTGTCAAAATCCTCTTGGTTTGCTAAGTTTGCAAATGATTCTTCAGTGTCTATTATGTTATCAGTTAAAAATCTGAGAAGTAGATCTTCTTGTTCTTCATTATTTACCTTCTCCCCCTGTCCTGCTGTTCTCTGTACTTCCTTGCATACTTGTGAATGGGCAGTATGCTCATGCTCAGACACTTTATTACACCCAGAGCATACATTTGATGCAGTTCTGTCCCGTGAAGATTCTCCATCATCATCATCAGGCTGTTCCTGTTGCTGCTTTAGATCACTATTTCCAAGCTGGCCACTAGCAATTTCTGAAGAGCCAGCAGTGTGTTTTGATCTGAGCAGATTTCTTTCAGCTTGCTCATCTTTATCAGTAGGAACCAAATCAGTAGGCATATCATCAGCATCTGTTAAAACCAAAGCATCTACCATTGGCTCAAGAGGGAGTTTCACTCCAGGCTCCCCAGCTGTGCCTTCTATTTTTTCTGCATCCTTAGAGAGTTGTCTTTCTCTCAGCTGCAAACTGTTATCTTTACCGGCATTCCCAGATGATAAACAGCCTGAAGAAGGCCTGCCCACTGTCCCTGTGGACTGGGTGTGTGGCTCCAATGTTGATTCAGCACTGCAGTGCTGCTCCTCCATGTGGTCCTTTCCTGCAGCTACCCAAAGGCTTTCTGCCTCTGTCTGTCTCTCGGTTTTGTTTTCACCTGGAGAACTAGTGCTCAGCTGTTTATCTTCTTTCTTTGGTCTAACGCCGGGACAAGTTTCAGAACCTAAGTGCAACAGGAAAAACAGTTCCAGTGTTTTTAAATGATTCAAAGCATCAGCCCAGGGGGGAAAAAGTATACTGTGATTTGATAACGCTGTAATCTAATGCTTTAAAATGCACTCCCATAAAGGGCAGGTATTTTATGCTCCAGTCAGAATAGAAGTTTTGTTACTAGTCTGAAAAACTGACTCCTGACTCGAAGTATTTGCACACATTCTTGCAGGCAAAGAGCATGCTTTAGTGCCCTCCTGAAAAGAGTTACTCCCATATTTCAAGCACAATATGTGTGTAGTATCTTCCTGAACGTTCCTTCTAAAGTCTATTTTATGTGAGTGCATGGAGGCCTGGAGTTCAGACAAATGCACTTAATTACAGAAAATTGTATTTTGATGCTGGTGTGTCTATCACACAGGGAGATATCTGCGTCTCCTTTAAAGAAGCTGAAATCATACTAATTTAATAAATTTTAAATTCAATTCTTTTAAGTTGTTAACTAGCTCCTTTGGTTAATGCTGAATTAAATATCCAATTACAAAATTTTATGTAACAGACTGCACAAAAAGATGTTACTTTTTGGATATGTAAGTGTATTAAAAAACACAGTTGGATACAGCTTATTTCTGTATTTGCATTAACAATACAAATGACAACAGATTTTTCTTATCTGAAATTTCAGAGAAAGGGGAATTGTACATAGCTTGTGAATTCACCTACTATTGGCATGGTCTGCTGCTGAAGGAGTAGATGGTTAGCCCAAGTTGTCAATAAAATTATTAGACCCTAGCCTTTATGAAAAGGTCCAAGCCAAATCTCCCTTTTTAGGCTTATGAAAAGAGAAAGAATACCAAAGCAAGCTAGCTATGACAGAAACTGTCTTTTATTCCATACTTGAATAAAAACTAAGTTAAGGCTATGCTATAGTAGGACTACTGTTACAATAATAGTAATAACCTCAAGCAACAAATTAATACCTCCAGAAAACACTCATTTGAATTTTTTGGTCAGAGCAAAAAGCAGATTAACAAAGACATCAAACAATGCTCTTCTTAACTGTATACGTTCTCACAAGAGTGACTGAAGATATCTATGCCAATCTTATCCTTCCTCACCTGTTAAAACCTCACTTAAAATCTGAGCAATTTCCTGAACTTAATACATGAAACAGGGTCACATTTGTTAGTCTTTCAAGACATGTTTGTATTAATTCATTGTATGAAACAGTTTTATTAAATTCTAAACTATCCCCATTTTAAAGGATGATGAAATACAAGGTAGCATAGGAAAGACAGGCTTGGAAATTGAACAAGAGAATATCCAACCACCTCAAAAGGCAGAAAAAAATCAGAACAACATTGACAGATAGAAAGGGTATGGGGAACCTAACTACTGTAAAACACTGAAAGAAGAAATGGGTATGAGACAGGGTCTTACTGAAAATTAGACACAGATGAGTAGATAGCTCAAGGGATTTGTAACAGGATACTGAACCCTTCACATTGAGGTCATGAGTTCAAACACAGACTGGATTATTGGTACAAGATTTTGTTACCATCTGTCAATTTTTCCTAGTGGATGCATCCGCATTACAACAGGCATCTTTGCTGGCAGCCCCAGTTGCAACAAAGATTAAATGGAATCGGAAATTAAATCCAGTTCTTTACCGTGAAAGGTGGCCCTTGAGCTCAGGGCTCCGTTCCTAAGTAAGTAATAAGTGATCTAGGATTGTTATCTAACTACAGACATATGGGAACTGAGATATAATGATCACTGTTACATGCCACATCAACTTTTCAGCAGCTCTCAATATTTTCTTTACACCTACTTCAAAACACCTGCTTTAGACAACCCATGCCCACTATAGACTCAAGGCAAGTTAAGACAAATATTTGAACACCTAATTAGAAAATACGCTTTTTCCTACTAAGTTAAATAAAGACGTACCCACCGATGTGGCAGCAATTTTTATCTAACTGTCAGAGATATAACAAAGTGTCTACTGAAAATTTACTAGCAGCAAAAGCACTTGGTAATTTAAGAAACTATTTTTTCCCAGAGTTACTTTAAAATTGACACTTGCTTTCATAGAATTGTTTATGTTGGAAAAGAACTTTAAGATCAAGTCCAACCATTAACCTAACACTGCCATCCCACCACTAAACCATGTCCCTAAGCACCTCATCTACCCGTCTTTTAAATAACTCCAGGGATGGGGACTCGACCACTTCCCTGGGCAGCCCATTCCAGAGCCTGACAACCCTTTCTGTGAAGAAATTTTTCCTAATGTGTAACCTAAACCTGCCCTGGCACAACGTCAGACCATTTCCCCTTGTCCTATCGTTCGTTACCAGGGAGAAGAAGCCGACCCTCACCTCACTACAACCTCCTTTCAGGTAGTTGTAGAGGGCGATCAGGTCTCCCCTCAGTCTCTTCTTCTCCAGACTAAACAACCCCAGCTCCCTCAGCCGCTCCTCGTAAGACTTGTGCTCCAGACCCCTCACCAGCTTTGTGGCTCTCCTCTGGACATGTTCCAGCAAGGCAACGTCTTTCTTGTAGTGAGGGGCCCAAAACTGAACACAGTATTCAAGGTGCGGCCTCACCAGCACTGAGTACAGGGGCACGATCACTGCCCTACTCCTGCTGGTCACACTATAGATATCTATATAAATACAGATAAAGCTGCGGAGCCAGCTAGGTAAGGCAGATCCTATAAAGGAGGAGTGGCTCAGAGGGGAATGGTACCTGTATGCTGTATGTCTCACTACGGTGCAAAGCGAGTCCTTTCCTCTTAGATTTCCCCATAGCTAAACCTTCAAGAGCAAAAGTGGCCAGATCCTACAGCGACCATCGGCAGGACTAAGTCCAAAGATGGAATGTAGCTTCTCTTCACTGCCACCAGGAAGACCACAACTCTCTGGGCTTGGCCAACCAGCTAGTTTTTTACCTGGTGAGGAGTACACCCATCTAGGCCATGAAACGCCAGCTTCTCTAGGATAATGCAATGGGAGACAGTGTCAAAAGCTTTGCTGAAGTCCAGGTAGACAACATCCACAGCCTTTCCCTCATCCACCAGGTAGGTCACCTGGTCCTAGAAGGAAATCAGGTTGGTCAGGCAGGACCTGCCTTTCATGAAGACATCTGGCTGGGCCTGATCCCCTGATTGTCCTCCATATGCCTAGTGAGCACACTCAAGATGAACTGCTCCATAATTTTCCCCGGTACCAAGGTCAGGCTGACAGTTCTGTAGTTCCCCGGATCCTCCTTTTACCCTTCCTGAAGACAGGCATCACATTTGCCAACCTCCAGTCATCTGGGACCTCCCCTGTTATCCAGGACTGCTGATAGATGATGGAGAGTGGCTTGGCAAGCTCTTCTGCCAGCTCCTTCAGCACTCTTGGGTGGATCCCATCCGGGCCCATAGACTTGTGGATGTCCAGGTGGCATAGCAGGTCGAAAACTGCTTCCTCCTGGATTACGTAGGGTTTATTCCACTCACCATCCCCGCCTTCCAGCCTGGGGGGCTGAGTACCCCGGGGATATCTTGTCAGGCCATTATTTGTTCATCACAAACATGTAGCCAACACTTTTTTTATCCTGTTAATCCAAGACAGCCTAGCAGAGAGAATACTGACCTATACCATTCTACCAGTGGAAAATTCACACTTCTCCATCTTTGTCCCTCTCCCCATTTAAATACAAATCCCATATGACCTAAAAGAATACAGGGTATAAGCAGTTTCTCCATACCTTGGAAACAGGTCTATATGTACACAGTGCCAACTTACACTAAAGGTTTTATTAAATGCATCATTTCATTAGAAAAGGTTTCACGAAACACATGAATTTGATTATCTTTAGTTAACACTAAGGCTATTAAGGCTTTCAGTTAGAAACTGAAGAAATTAATGGATATAGGATGTATCAAATCTCATCTTTTAACATACACACATAGCTTTAAGGGCCCAGTTCTCTTTGTTGGTAGACTCGGAGAGAAAATCTGCCAGAAAGGAAAATGTAACAGACCATTCACAACCCTTGCTCAGAAAGGCAGAAAACTAATTCAGTGACTCTCCCTGGAATCGTGACTAGCCAACTTCTGATAAAGCTGTTCCTTGGTCACTGTATCCCCAGGAGAGAGGAATCGTGAATTCTTAGGATCAACTGCCTACAGAGGCTCAAACTATGTTCCCAAATGCCTCCGATATGCCAACTGGATTAATTTTTGCTTTAGATTAGTAAGGTAGTGTGATTTTACTTCAACAATGCTACCATAGTAAAGTGCAACAATCTCTACATTGTAATATATATCCCTATGTAAAAGCTAATACTTCTTATTGATCATTGCTAGATAAATTCTTATTTTGGGTGTATGAATTCACATGAAGGACAGTTTTCAAACCACTTGAGAATTTCCTTTTCTTGTCTTACCGTAAGTCAGACTTGTACTACTGGCAGCTAAGTGAGTTAGGTAAGTGGTTCTCCCTGCATATTGGCAAATAAATTTCTAAAAGAAGAAGAAAAAATTTGCACACTTATGTCTCATTTTTCTTGATGTAGAGAAAAAAAAAAAACCCACCCAAAAAGCAGAAGACAGGCATTCTAAGTTTTCAGTGAGAAAGCACATGTATTTAGGCTAATGCCAAACAGGTTATTTTAAATATTAGGAACTGTATGGTTATTACAGTATAGGATTCTGCTGGGGTTCAGGCAAAATTAAGAACCAGTCCCAAATGGCCCTATTTCTTCTAGTCCTGAGCTGGATCACTCAAACAGCTTGAATAAATTTTGTGCAGCACCGAGTGGTGTATACAAATTCAGAGTTACGGATCATCTTTGTCCCATTTCTATATTAGTTCATATTGATGCCTTCCCTACCCAAAACCTTCTAACTGCAACAGACATTCAGCCCCATGCTGCTGACTCAGTGAGGGGCAGCAGTAGCTAACCAATCACACGCTGCCGTAACAGATCAAGAGACCCGTCAGGGTGCTTCCTCAAGAATGTGCTAATTTGTGAAAAACATCCTTTGCAAATTTTAGGCATTTAAGCTTGAGTTAGGCTTGGAATATTCATATCTTTGTATTGAAAAGGTATTTAGCACTGCTGGAAAATTCTCAGCAGAACCGCTTTCTATTGGATGACACAGCTTTATTAATTTACAAACATTTCATAGGAACCTAAAAATTTTGATGACATTTTGACAAGAGATACATTAAGAGAAAGGCACCAAAAAAAAAAAAATCCATTTACGCCATTAATTACTTCCACATTAAGTTTAATATGTCTAGGTGTTGTATTACAGTATTTTAACATTGACACAAAATGCTCCGTAATTCAGAAGTTTCAAATGTTCAGAAATTCTGCTCTCCAAAAAGCTGTTGTTCCCACTTGGAATAAAAACAATGCAAAAATTATAAGTGCCTAATTTTTTTCCATGGGAATGTCCAACCATCCAAAAATAAAAAGCATTGGGTTCTTTTGATCTGCTTTCTGAGCTGTAAAACATGTTTGTTCTGTGTTTTCAATGTTTTGTGTTTAGTTAGGTTACAAGAACAAAGAGAGAAAAAGGAGTATGGGGTTGTGGTAAAAGAGGATGAAGACAAGGAAGATCCACATATGTAGAGAACTGTGACTGTATCTTCATTAATTCCTGATTCTTCTGAACATCATGGCTGATACACACTTGTAGGATAGTTCAGGTTGAAAGGGACCTCCTGAGATCACTTAGGTCAACCCTCATCTTGTGAGAAATTCTAGCTGTTTTTGAGGAGATGTACTCAGGTTAGGCCAATTTTGGCAACTGGAACATGGCAAAAAAACCCAACCAAACAAAAAAAAAAAAAAACCCAAACCAACTTTCTGCTCAGGAAGAAGAGAAAGAAAGCACAGCCTGGTAGTCTATCAATGCTCTTTCCCCCCTTTGTCTCCATTTTAACAATTCATTGATTTTCAAATGTTTCATAAGAACCCAATGATTCTAAAGAATTACTCAAACAAAACAGCCACTGCCCCAAGGCAGGAGGAAGAAAATGAAGCTGACATAAAAGTGTGTACTGAAAAGAATTAACTGAAGTATGTTTTTCTCTTCAATCCCCCCCAAAAGCTTCCTGATTTTCTGTGCTGCTACAGAAAAATGCGTCTCAAAATCAGTACATTGCATGTAATTTAAAATTGTTACTAATATTGTTAACTACACTGAATTGCCACAACTCAGAATATTTGTCATCAGATTGTTTACCTTATGTTTTACACATACAAATTATGTATCTTATTCTAGTTTTACATAATCTTGTAGCTTATATAGGCTGCTATAAATGTGTACACATTTAAAAGACATTTTTTTGATGGAGGCTAGAATTACTTTAATTACAATTCTGAATATCAATGACTAATTAAAATCACATAGTACATACATTGTGCAGTTGAGAAAAAAAATTAAAATTTACACAAATGGATGAATCTGTGGGAATCCAACAAATGCTGTAGCTTCAAATGAAATAGCTTCATAGTATTTATAGGAATATGTCATTACAGTATAATATTTAAAACAAACGTATGCACATGTACATATATACACACACATACCTGATTTAAAAGCAGCAGCTTCTCTTTCCTTTACATTTTTTGATTCCATTAACTGAAGCAAACAACTGCTTTCCCATGTATTTTCTGCAGCTACTACCTGTAAAATATGATAGTATTTCCTGTAATTTTTGGAATTAAACGGGAACACTGTGATTTTTTGAGACATCGAAACTTCAAACAGTTTATATGCTAAACTGGAAAGATTATATCTAATAATATTAAAAATACATTTATTAGCAGTATTTGACAAAGCAGAATTCAATTAAACAGCTGCTTACCTTATTTTTGGATGTCTGTGGCCTGCAGCAATAAAGAAAAAAAGAATAAATTAAACAACTTAGTAGCAGCATTATTCATAACAAATGTCATTGAAATCTTACAAGCCTTTGCTCTGCTCTAAACATTAGCACAGAACTTTTGACATTGAAACAGCATCAGCATGCTAGTGTACTTTCAAGCACAGATCTGTACCATGTGAATATAATCAGAAGACCAATTAACCCAAACATTGCTCTACCTAATTAAGAAAGCAGTCAAAAGAAAATTTACTGCAACATATCAAACAATCTAATTTCCTGTAAAACTTTATGCTCAGATGGAACTCCACCAACTTTAAAAAAATCATGTAAGGACTCTAGCTACTAGCATTAAAAATACTGATCACTAGAACAGAGACTGAGGAATGGAAAAAACCCCACAATACATATTTCCCTCTCCACAGACTGTTTACTCTGGGACATGTTTTCTGGATACTGTAAGATACAGCAGCTTCCACTGATTCCACTAGCATTCACAGGTGCGTCGGCACTGCTAACGGTCAGCGTGGACTTTGCAAACTGTGTAGCCTTTCATACAGCAATGAAAATAAAATGTTGAGCATTTCGTTTAAAGCTACTGGAAAAAAAAAGTAGGAGATGAGGGAAAACTACTGAAGTTCACACTCTCTAACAAGATTTTTTAAAAGTTGCATTGACTTTTAAATTTTACTATTTAAAATTCAAATAAAGGACACTCAAAACTATCTTTAAAGAACAAACATGTCCAGCATATAGCTGTAGACCTTGAGTACCAGAAAAAGTTATATTACTTTCAATTACAAGAACAAAATGCTCACATTTTCCGAGACCTGCATGTTATTCATTAAAAATTAAAGTATAATTTTAATTATAAAGTAAATTTAGATTAAATCTTAGGGAAAAAATATGAAACAACAAAGGAAGTAGGCTTTTGCCTAAAGAGTGTGGAAGAGGAATAACATTAAATACAGAGAACTAATCATGGCAAACACAAGCCATAATTCCTATCACATTGCAGAGTTTCTCAGAACCAAGAATGAGGTTACATAACTGAAATTTTGTATTTTGAAGTAAGGCTGCATGGAAGAATTAGAAGGAGAAAGCAGAGTTATTCTTAACAAGATGACAATCAAGGTGACAATAGGGAGGTGCTGCTAGTTGCAGCATATAAATTGCAATGGACCTGAATCTTAATCTTTCCGTGGGCTTGCGAGGTCATGTGCAAGGAAATGGACGCTGAGGAACCTTGCAGGCAGTCAAGAGTGCAATCTCTAAGCAACAGCAGGCTGTGGGTGTAAACATGCAGCTATGGTCCTAGAGCTGCCTCCTCCTGCTGTGGAAATTTAGGAGTATGCTTTCCAGGGGCTCCCTCCCAAACGTGTTCCGACTACAAATAAACAATCCCTGCCTGGGTTCTAGGAGTCAGCTTGGGTGTTTTCAAACTTCTGTACGGTCATCCAGAAGAAAAAAACTGTGGAAGCCAAATCATACTCTTTATGAACAAGAGAAGCATTTTGGCTTTTGTTGCATCCAGAATGACTAAGCCAATGCAAATGTATTTGAAAAAGTTCTCTCTGACCTGACTGAGAGCATCTCCCCTGTCACAGGCTGGTCTTTTCACAGCCTTTGAATGTGGTTAGTTTTCTCATTATCATTGGCTGATAATTTTTCAGTGGCAGCTGGTATAATTTTTTCCATCTGTCCCTTAAACTCAGTGTCTAGTAGGTAGGACATTCACCCATGAAATAACAGATCTCCTTCCTGATGGGTACAATCCCATGCATGCTACTACCCAGAAGAGCACCCTAGGCATTGTCCAAAAGTTTGTGATACTATGATCAACTGATTCAGGAGGCTGATGAATCAGGCAAAGCAGGTATGAACTAAGATTTCACAACTTTTCAGAATACTGCCACAGTAGGGAACCACAGAGTCACTGCTTCATAACGTTTACACGACCTACATGAAGTCAATGGAAGATAACAAGAATGACTTGAAGCATTAGGGAATTGTCCTAATATGCGGAAAATTTGGGAATAAAATCCTGTTGGCAAGATGTGAGTGCTAGAGTCTGAGATGCTGGGCGATTGCATTTAGAAACAATGATTATAATAATAGGTACTAGACACAAGAACTATCATCAGTTCTACAGTCTCTCTCTCCCTAAATTTACACCACTCAGTTTTTACTTTGGCTGAAAATACTAAAATTCAAAACTCCATTTGTGGCAAACTAATGATTTGCTGAAAACAGTTCAGATCTAGTCTCTATACATTCCTCAAACCTTATTAAAACATTGTGAAATTTGATGGTAATGGAAACATTTTAGTTACGTATCAAAAAGAACCACCACTTTGCAACCAAATTCACTGAAGTCAATGGGATGCAACTTTTATTTTGACATTGACTGTTTTAAACCACCTATACTGGCAAGAAGACAACAGCTGCACTAACATATTAGTAATGCAAAAGTAATAATATTTTCTTATACTTACTGTTGATGTGAAGAGCAAACTCTAGTAAGCTTTTCCAGCTCTTCATCACTCAGTTCTGTAGCTGAATTCCTCAGTGTTGTAACTGGACTAGGAACTGCTGTTTTCCATTTTTTTTCTAAAGTAAATCAAAATAATTTTTACTTAAAACTATTATAAAAGCACTATTTGCTTAACATAAAACATATACCTGCAACTAATTAATGGAGAAATATTGACAACTTTTCTGTGTATGCTCTACAATCTTGTTTCAGACTATGCAAAAAAGTGTCATATTTTTTCACAACACACTTTATTTTCACCACATTAAATTCACCAACCCTAAACCAAAATAAGCTAAAAACAACTGTGGATCAATCAAAGTCTCAATTAATAGAATAGAGAATGACAAACTATTTGCACTTTTTTCATGAAACATGTGAGAAGAAATCTAAAACAGGAATACTTTTCTCATAACAGGTTCAGAGAAATTATGATATAAATGCTGCTTTTGCTATGCATTTTAAGATGGCAAAATGTATATGCTATTATTTATGAATACAAAACAAATTAACTCTCTTTCTTCTACCATATTAATTTAGGCTGTACTCACCCCACTGCTCCTGTATGGAAGAAAGATTTGCAAGAAGTTGCTCATGATACAGTCGTTCAAGCTGAATGAACTTCATTGCCTTCTCATCTGAATGGAAGGTTAAAGAAAAATGCACGTGTATATGGACATGTTATGAATTATTTATATTTGGCACCATATTTGAAAGGGCAATCACTATGTACCTGAAATTTTACATAATTGAATCAAAATGAATAATGGCTAGCACCCAGATTTCTGTGCAAGGAAGAAAATAATAGCAGACATGAAAACAGCAAGTAAGAAGTGAAGTTGAGAAAAGTTCCAAAAATGAAAATCCTGTTCTCTTCAGCAGTTACCTCTTCCCACATGCCTTAAGTCCAATAAAAGTTTTTCTAGAAAAGAAATGAGCAAAATGTTACTATGCTGACAACTCTTATTAGAAAATGGAATCTCTGGGAAATGACAAACAATTATACAAATACCAGCACGCATCTCTCAAGAAGTACAATTATATCCCAATATCTATAAGTAACTGAAAATATGGCTCCTTTCTACTGACCAGCTGGAGACAGTATTTAAAAAATTTCCCCAACTCAAACTTTAAAAAAATACCCTTCCCTTTTCAACCATTGTATACAACACTGTTGGACAGCTGAGTTTGCTTTTGTCTTCCTTCTGAAGATTCTGCTTGCTTTTCTTCTATATGAAGAACTCTTTCCTCTCCCTTAGGGTTATCAATATATTCACAAAGACACTCTCGTAGTTATATATCTTGTAATGGTCAGGATAATTCTAGTTCCATCAAGCCCAAGTTGTTAGTTGTTCTGTTCAAACCCATGTCTTGCCAGCTATTTGTAATTTAATACTACATACATTGAGGATAAAAATACAGTGAATGAGATTCTTAGTAATATAAAAAAAATATTTTCCATTATTCATGCTAATTAAAATACTGGAATAATTATTACAAAAACACCCAGTACTTGTTATTCTTGTCAGCCTCATGCAACATATATATATATATAGCATGACTTATGAACAACCATATTAATGGAAAGAATATTCCCTGCCTTCAAGAAATCTGTTACTAGAAACAGAATTACAGATCAGAGAGATAGCCTTAGAGGATAACAGCAACAAACCTTGAATTATTGTTAATATGAAGTTCTGCATTGGATGAATTAAAATGCCTGTCATGGATAATTAATACAGTGCAACACGATCAAGTAAGTTCTTTATTAACTTCAGGAAACTGATGGTTGCAAGTACAGAGAAGATATCCTTCATAAATATGTATTATATAGTGGTGTTGAATTCCACACATCAGGTGTATATTGCATTAAAAATATTTCCTTTGATCAGCTTTAAATACAGTGCCCTTCGATTAAAGCAACTTCTATGAAAGAGAAACTGTCGTTCTATCATACTGTAGAATACATTTTAAAATTACTGTATTTCTCCGTGCAGAGCCATAATTTACCACAGAATTTTCCATACCTTTAATTTGTGCTGTGTATTTTGGATTTTCTGATGAATGCTTTTTAATTAAGTTGACCATGACAGGAGTACAGTGTTCTAAGACAGTGATGGATATTTTATTTTATATATTGCTTTTATAATACTGCAACAGTTATTTCTCTGGTTTTGTACTACAGGCTAATATAATTTGGCTAGGTTTCAAGGATACCGTTCCAGGTTTCTTATGCTTTGCTATTTAACCATTACGACTGCTTATTTGCTGTATATTGTTTGTAACAAATTATATAATAAAGAAATAATCTGTATGCACAGATTCTGTAATTTATGATGCATCTTAGTGAATCATATATACCTTAAGGGCTTACCACTGTTGCCTCTTCTTTTTATAGTCTAATCATTTTCCCTTAAAAGCAAACAGAGGAAAACCCAGTCCACTTTTTCTAAAAGTATAATTTCACTTTAAGGTTTAATATGATTATTCTCTCCCACAATTACTGAAATATATCAGAGTAATTAGCAACAGTTCAAGTACAATACATTTTTGGCCAAACTCATTTGTATTATTTAGGAACAAATAAAAATAAACCAGACCATTGAACTAGCTGTTCCCAGAAGCAATTACCCACATCTTCCTATGACAGTTTCTCAAACTACCTTGATATGATTTTGACTAATTAGCATTTGCCAAACACCATGTTGATATTGTTTGCAGGTTGCTGATTTCCCTTAGCTCAGTGTGTTTGGTACTTTTATTCTAATCTAGACACTTGTAGTACATATTCTAATCAACTGTTGTGTTAACTTTGTTCTTACTGTAACAGCGCCCTATTTGATATAATAGAATGCATACCCTATCTAGATTGGACATATTCCCAGTTACTAATACTTACAACAGAACCTAGCCCATAAAAACAGAAGTTCTTTGAAAATAGTTTCTTACTTCCTTGTTTGTGCACAACTCCTAATGATTATACCAATACAGCTTTTGGAAGTGGATTACTTAACTCGTATTCCAGCTGTCTGATTAAGAAGGACTTGCTAACATATTGTGTATCCACTCATGGGTAAATTACAGCTGTTCACTTCTTTCTAACCCTGACCCACAGCTTGTGAGTCAACAGCAAAGCATTTGTCTTTTATGTTTTATGATGCCTGCTTATTTTAATATTGCGTAACAATTTTTACAAGTAAAAGGATACATTCCTCCTCTTGAAAATAGGTCTCAGCTATCTGCAAAAGTAAAAAAAAGAAAAATTAGGATTCTACAATTTTCATGAGAGTGGTAAGGACATAATATGAATTTTTTATCATAGTTTTAAACATCTGTTTTGCAGGTTCATATTTAGTGTGGATAAAATATGAATGTTCAGACTAAATACATGTATTTTGTTATGTTAGGACAGATGTTTAAAAAGAATATCAATCAAAAAAGACATATTAAGTCCTCTCACAGAAATGCATTTGCCCAAATGTTAGTTGGGTTTTATCTTGTTACGACAACAAAAAATTATTTCAGAAACTTTTTTAATGATCATATTAGAAAGTTTAAAATGACCTAGAACAGAAGCACTGTGTTTAGTGATATGAGTTGAAGAGCTTTAATTCTGTTACTGACCATTGTTTCCTTATGTTTGACCAAATTAAGATCATTGCTGAGATCTCCCAAGCATTACAGTGCAATGTGATAAAATGGAGGAATGGAGGTCTCCTGACTGATGAGAAGAGAACAATCTTTGGATAAAAGACACTAAAAATACCACCTATCACAGCATCAGAGACATACCAATAACCTTCCTGTTTTATCCTCTCTACAATACGTAATTACAACAAATATTTCAAATAGATAATTTTTTTCTTAATTTCTTAAGAATTCTTAATTTTTTTTCTATATTACTCCTAGTTCACCTGCAGAAGCCAGACAATACCATTGCAGCAGCCTTCTGGCACCTCCTTTCCTGAAGCTGCTCGGCTGTGTTAAAAAGATTTAAAGACCCTCTACCTCATGTGTCAGTTCACTAAGCCTAACATCTTGACATCTGAAGCTCTTCAACAATAGAGCTAGTCATGGAGTTAAGCCAGATGGCAGTTCTTTGATTTGCTCTGTAGCGGTTATGACATGGAACAAATCTGTGGCTCTTCCTCCTTAGGCTGACGTTTCTATAACAGAACAATTAAAACTGGATTTGTAACAAGTCAGCCCTGCCAAAGACAACCATTGGAAAAAACCCTAAAAATCACAAAAATTCTTCAAGACTTGTTCTGTTAGAGGGATGTTAATACAGCTATGTCTAAACAAATAAATACCAGGGAGTTGATACAAGAAACAAGTGAACTTTCCCTGTTGCATTTAGAGCTCAAAGTGCTATGGAGGTTTAATATAGAGAACAAAAAAATAATTCCAAAGCAGTTTCTGAGGACCGGGAAAATCAAACATAAGACAGACTACATATAAAATACTTGAGCACTTCTAGCTTAACAATATGTGTTAATTTACATGAAATGCTGCTGTAACAGCTGCTATCTTAGCCAATGGCTAAGAAGTGAACAAGGGATCTCTATGCCTAAGCATTCAAGATGTCTAGCTGCAACATCTTGTAAAACAACTTCACCCTGACTGGGTAATTTTATAATGCCTATTTTTAACAAATCACTGCAAAAAGGAACAGTAAATATGTGCTCACCAAGCATTTATAAACTGAGAAGCTGTCCATAAACCATGAACATGGTCATACAAACATAAGAGAAAATTATGTTCTGGTATACTAAGTTATTGCTACAGCAAAGCTATATATTTCAAGTGCAGACTACTGAAATAGATTTACTACCCTCTTCCTAGCGATGCTTTTGCTTTCAACCAGCTATTTCAAAGTCAAAATTACAAGCATGGAAGTGGCAGAACTTCCAGAAGAAAACTCGAGATGCCAGTTAGAAAAAACACTTTTTCTGTTAATCAAGTAAAGGTATCGGGTTTTTTGTTTGTTTATTTGTTTAGTTGTTTTTTTTTCCCCCAGAACTGGCATAAAGAATTACTTCTTGGACTAAAAGGGCAAAGACACCATTGTACTAGAGTACATGCAACCAGCTCAGAGAAAGGAACTATCTGAAGAGACAGAAAACGAGCATGTTTCTAATCAGAATCAGAATTTCACTTTGCTCTGAGTTGGTGGTGGGGAATATTATAGAAAAGATAGAGATGATACCTGGAAAGAAAAAGGTGTGACACTGTATAAAAAAAGCTCATATAGTAACTGAAGCATTTTTCTTCCAATTCCTCCCTATAGACAAATAATCTTTAAGATCTGCAACAACAACTTCTTTGTGCTTGCTAGTAAACTGGGCAGGCTTTCCTAGAAAGCTGAGGAATACTGATGGCTTGGAATACTGATGGCTTTGTTTGTAAATACAAAAAATATAAACCTCAGAAGTGAAAATATTTTGTTGCACAAAACTCTAGAATATCAGTGACCTTTACAAGCATGAACTAATCAATCTTCAGGGACAGCGAATGTTGGCAGTATTCCTATTTGCCATGCATGGTGTGGCAAGGGCCACACTTGCAAAATGTATCCAGAAATTGCAGGTATGCTGATACCTGAACATTCTGGTTGAGACACCTCATAGCTGATACTCCAATGCCTTCTGTAGGAGCACACAAACATTCAGTCTCAAAACCTTTGGGGCATACCAATTTCAGAACTCATAATTTGAAGGGCTTAACAAATGTGAAACTCTAAAGATGATTGCTCAAAAAAAGACAGCAACTTGATAGAGGAGTCTAGATTACAAATTGTGCATTCCTGGCTCTCAGCTTTATTACTAACCACTAGACCATTCTGAGCCCGGTACCTCCAAACCAGAATTGTTAAGTGACTTCAAAGGTTCTTCATTTGCACATTTTGTCTGCTGTCCACAGCAGTCTGCTTAGTCTGCTAAGGATTTCTGGAGCTGCCAAAGGTCTGTATCTATGTTTTATATACAAGTACTACTTAGATTCTGTAACAAATACTATAGAAATCACATGAATCCCATTCAAGACAGGAAAAAAAAATTACATTCTATTTTAATTGAAAGTTAACCCTTAGAATAGCCCCTAATATCCCACAGCCTCTAAATATTTAATACAGGCTTCCCTCTAATAACGTGGATTGTTAATACTCCAGAACATCTGACACAGATCTTTATTTTACATTGAATTTTGTCACACAGATAAAAAGAGACTGTGATAGAAGAACATTTGCTAGACCTGGCATAAGTTACTGGCAGGCTGTATTAGCAATCTGAAAAAAAGACTGAAGATGACAGGTTAATTCGCTGGAAAAGGAAAAAAAAATTCTTAATAAAAACCAAGAATGCTATCTTTAAAATCCTTTATTTTTTCCCCAGATTAAAAAGTGTGTTATGATCCTTGTAAGTTCTGTTAGCTTTCTTTCAAACACTCCATTCAAAATGCTGATGTTTCTTAGGAAAAAAAGAGATGGTGTTTGATTACATGTTTGAATCTGGAAATGCAGATTCTGTTCTCAGTTCTGTCACAGTTCCTGTATGACTTTCAAAAGGTTGTTACCCTTAGGGTTTGGCTTCCTCATCTAAAAAGCAGCAAATAGATTTCACCTCCATCATGTTCGATGACACTCCTTAATGTTTGTAAGGCGTTTTGAAGTTTTTGCCCATAACTGTCCTGTTTTCCAAAACAGACCTTTGTACCAACTCGTGCACAACCACCAAATTTGGTGTGGCTAAAGGTATAAATGGTTAACCTTAATACACATTTCAAATAAATTAAGGAATAATATGAAATATCTTCACTCAAACACAGCTTAAAAAAATAATTTAAAAATCTATATTAAATGTAAATTACCTATAATCTGCAATACTAAAGAGAAACCTCTTTCTCAAATATAATCGCTTATTTGTATCAAAGAGAATACTGATGGACGAGTGTCATCACAGTTTAAAAGTTTAAAATATCACAATTGTCCTATTTTCCACAATAAAGATAATGCAACTAAGTCAAATTGGACACTGCATAGTATCTATATATAGCGCCCATATTAGACACTACAGCCAAACAAAAAGTCTTCCAGCCCACTGTTAGTCTGACACAACGAAAATATAAATTAATACCATATCAAGTCCTATCAACATATTCATCTTGCATCATAATCTCCAGAAAGAAAAACATACTCGCCAGTTAGTAAAAACGATTGCTTTTCAAATCACACAGTATTTCCTTTGGTCTTGCAGGTGTGGCAGCTGTGCTATAAAAAAGTATATACTAAGAAACCTTGAATCTTAACATTCACGCATGAAATTCATGCCAGAAAGAAGTCTGCAACAGTAAAAAATAATTCCAGATTTAAAATGTTCTTTAGATATCAGCTGTCTTGTATCTATACCAGTGTTTTACAGACCATATTAAGGTATGTTGAAGAGTGATTTTCTTAAATCTTCCTGCCAAACTAGACTTTCATCATTTGGAGAAATTGGAAAACCCGTCATTAAGAGTTTCCTTTAACTGCAGAATATACTTTCAAGGCAATTTATAATTTAACATATATTAGAAGACCTTAGAGGAGACATTTGCCTTGACCACCTGTCATACATCAAAATACCCTGTCCAGATATGAATATTGGCATATATTGAATTAATGCATTTTTTTCTAATTAGTAAAGGTCTCAAATCAAGACAAAATTGTGTGCAACACCCCAGAATCACAGGAAGTACCTGATGGAGACACAGCGGCAGTATCTTTGAATCCATCTGCTCAACCTCTTCACGAAGCAATGAGAAAAGAGACTGCATTTGGTTTTGTTCTTTTTGGTGAAAGTTTTCGTTTGCTTCAACAGCACCTTCAACACGCACAGAATGTGTGTCTGTAGTAACAGTATTTTCCTCCTTGATTGCTGTGGTTCCTACTGTAGGAACTCCTTTAAAAAGAACAAGTACTTAGGTTAGAATTCAAAAAATATGTCAAGTTGCTTTTTTAGGAAATTTCAATACAAAAGCTATGAAGAAAACCCTAGTATCTTAAAGAATATCCCTGCAAGTAAATAAAATACTGGTCTTATCAAAATTAGTTGTGACAGGTCTCTCTCAGTGTCAGCTCATCTACCTGAAAAAACCACAGTAACATACATCAGGTGTTTTTTGCACACTTCTGTCTGGGACCTGACTTTACGTTGGGGGAAAAAAACCAAACTTCCATGTTAAGACTGAATTGTAATACAGCAGAGACAGAAAGCAGGGTTGTTTGCAACACAGCTTTGCTCAAAAAGGGCAAAAAAGAAGGTAGGCAAGGAGAGTGTGAATGAGGTTCTCAGTTTGTCTCTTCACTCCTGCCAAGGACCTTGTAAAGGGAGATGTCCCAGGGAAGGAAGGATGGACGGACAATTTGACCTGTTCAGATAATAACACAATGGATCCTCACAGTGATGACAGGATCTTATAGGATAGAAAGAAGCAGATGATGACAGTGGGGGATTCTATTGTGGGGGTCAGATGTCCAAGGGGCACTTGTCTTGCCAAGTATAAAGGAAGACCCCTCTTAGATAGTTGGACAGTTTATTTGAGAGTCCAGGGAATGCGGCAGTAGCAGTGATCTATATTGGTAACAACGACACAAGGATGCGTAAACTGAATTTAGCCTCCAGAACTTCTTGCTAGGCAGAAAACGAGGTTCTCCATGGTACATTCCCTGGCAGTCCACTGTTGCCCATCTCCAATTTTATAGAAGCCAAAAAATTCAGACATGCAGGTGGAGGACTGGCAACATATATGAAGGATAGTGTAAAGCGTAACAGTATAAAAATACTACAGGAAAAACTTTCTGGGTGCAAATCCTCCATTGTATTGTTAAAAGTGCTGATTATGAATATGATGGTTATCAGGAAATGTTAAACGAGATTAGGGAAGACGTGTAGAGGGGGCAGTAGTAATTGGAGAAATCAACTACCCATATACAGACTGGACCAGCTTCTCACAAAGATCAAGAATAAAAGCAATAAACGATGGCTTCCTATAACACACCGTCTTTAGGAGTAGTCAGAAAGCTACAGCTTATTCCACCAACTAATGAACATTTTTTTTTTCATAAACCAACACTGAATTTGACACATTCACATAGGATTTAACTTTAAAAAAAATCCCATAATTTTTTAAACAATTTAGAGAACTTGGCCACTGAAATGTGTACAATAAACTTCTATAAACTCAAGTTATGACGAGTATGCTACTATTCCCCAGCTACACCCATTTTCCAAAAATCATGTTATCATTTAAAAGGAGGACAGGTGGGGGGCACTGTTTCAAGTAACCATCACACTTTGTTTCTACAGCTTGGGCACTCAGCCTATTTCAGACCCCCTTGTGTTCATCGTAACTGAAACCCTATAGTGATGACTCAGGGTTAAGATTTAGAGCTTAAGAAAGGCATTAGCTCGTCCACTGAAGGCTCCACCATTCTATTTTTGGTTATTTCAAACTCTTTATTAAGTAAACTATCCAGGTCAGGAGTACTAATAATCTCTGTGGGTGGCTATTTTCACAGGACTTACTGCCAGACAAAATATGGGTGTAACTTAACATTGCTTTTTCAATATTAACATATGTCTCTGCTTTTCCAGTATTTATTTGGGCTTGCTGTGGGCCAAAAGCAACAAGGGACATAACTGGAGGCAAGATACAAACAAGGAAGTACTTTCAGAGATGGAATTAAGGCTGTCTTTAAAAATACAGCTTTCTCTTCAGCACATGATCATGAAACCAGAAAAGAGGGTCCACGTGTTCTGGCAAACCTCTTCTCTCAGATAAAAAAAAAAAAGGTAACTTCAAACTGCACTTTATTAAGCAGTTAATAATCACTTGTCATATCAAAACATGAACTATGACTGAAACATGCTCAATGGCAACTACCATGAAAACCCTTCATTTTAATGTTATTGTGGTACTGTTGCTAACACATAGTTTACAAACTGCATATTATTCCTACATATAGTTGAGCTGTCACTCACTTGGAATCAAATTCTGCCCTCAAATTACTCCCCTGATTCTGAAGCAAGACGTTACAGCCATTCAGGTTAATTCTACCTTGTTCTATCTATCTTAAACACAAGACAGCATTTGTGCCTTAGTAGCACTATAACCAAGAACTTTTCTTGTAACACTTGGTAATGTGTGCTGGTTTTGGCTGGGAGAGAATTAATTTTCTTTATAGTAGCTAGTATGAGGCTACATTTTGGACTTGTGCCGAAAACAGTGTTGATAACACAGGGATGTTTCAGTTACTGCTGAGCAGAGCTTACACAGCGTCAAGGCCTCTGCCTCTCAACCCACTCCACCAGCGAGCAGGCTGGGGGTGCACAAGGAGCTGGGAGGGGGCACGGCTGGGACAGCTGACCCCAGCTGACCAAAGGGCTATTCCATACCATATGATGTCACGCTCAGTATATGAAGCTGGGGGAAGAAGGACGAAAGCGCGGGGGATGTTCAGAGTGATGGCGTTTGTCTTCCCAGGTAACTGTTATGCGTGATGGACCCCTGCTTTCCTGGGGATGGCTGAACACTTGCCTGCTCATGTGAAGTAGTAAATGAATTCCTTGTTTTGATTTGCTTGTGCATGGGACTTTTGCTTTCCTTATAAAACTGTCTTTATCTCAACCCACAAGTTTTCACACTCTTATCCTTCCGATTCTCTCCCCCATCCCACCTACGGGGAGTGAGCAACCAGCTCTGTGGTGCTCAGTTGCTGACTGGGGTTAAACCACAACATAATGCTATCTCATCATTACAGTGTTAATGGGCTACGACCCCTATTTATTTTTTTTTTCCTCCATGTTCTTGAAAAGGGCACACAACACTGTTTTTTTCCTGGAATCAATCTTACTGTCCAAAGCAGGTTATTTTTTTTTTGACTAAAGACTGGTATCTTACATACATTTCTGATATTTTAAGAAGCAAGGATTAAGTTTTTTCACTTTGCCAAGCATTGATATTTATGACACACATTGATACTTGGTTCTATACTAGAATGAAACCAAAGCCTTTATGACAACAAATGTGAAAAACCACAGAAGATATCAACCCTCCAATGGCCAGAGGACTCACTAGGAATGTGGCAGAGAGCTGGGTTCAAGTTTCTGCTCTGCCAGACTCATAGAGGTTTCAGCTGACATCTTCTATGCCCAGTTGGATGTACCAATGTTTCCTAAGACATGAGGAAAAGCAAACTTTCTCAAAATTTCTCTAAGAGTTCATGGAAGCAGCCCCATGTTTGCAAAAAGATCCAAATTTGACAGACCTTGTGAATAAAAATGACCAACACATTTTTCAATATGTCTCACCTTTTTTTGGTTTGTCAGTACTGCGAGTATATGAAATTAAGATGCTCTTGCCACCTGCCTGAGAATGAGTAAGAGGTGCAAGTATGAGGCATTTGCTATCAAAATAAAATTATGGATGTTGTCCTCTGTTTTTTAATTGAATTTTAATTTTCACATTCAGTAGCACTAGCTTAAGTCACCAGTAACAGAAGTTGCTAGTACAGAAAACATGGTAATCTTTTTAAAACATTTTTTGGTACTCAATACCAGAAAGCTGGTTTAGACTGATTCATTCAAGAACTATTAATAAAAAAGGAGACCAGCAAGTATTTAAAAACTAATTCATTTTAAGAGAAGTTATTTTAAGACCAGAGTGTTGGCGGTAAAGATATAACTTCAACTAAGCAAGCTCAAAATCTTTTTTAGTGCAGCAGAGAACCCTAATTAGAATAACATTGCTTGAATTTTCATATAATTTGACTGGTTTTATTGATGTACTTCATTTGCTGCAACACCAAATCCATCCCAACCACTCCGCTTTCTTCCCCCACTTTCAAGCTGCTTCAAGAAATAAGTTGAATAATTTACAGGAAAAATACACGTTGCAGAATTTAACTTGAGGAAAAATGATTAAGTGCAAGTTACTGTGCTATACCGTGCTAAGTAATTACACACTGTGATTTTGTAGTACTAAGTTACTAGTTATGCCCAGACCGATCTTTTGGAAAAAGACAAAATTCTTTTCAGAGAACAGGGATAATTTAAAGTCCACATTTACAAAAATACATTGAAACAGATGACACTTCATGAATCACCATCTCTACTGCACTAAAGTTAGTACGATTCATTACAAGGAATCAAACTATGAATAATCACCAAAGTTTAAATTTGCATCACTTCGTTGATCACCAGTGTCCTCCTCAAATAGATATAATCATAGTCTATTCAAAATTATTATTAGTATACAAAAAGTATGTGAGAGAAATTTGGGATCTGGAAACTACAGACTTGTCAATTCACACTAATGCGTCTACTGCAGCATCAAGACAGCTAAAATGAGATGCTTCTTCAAACAATGCATGGGTGAAGTCTTGGAACAACTTACTCCAGGACACCAAAATGGACTCAAAAAACAACTGCAAGTCAGGTGACAAATTCACTGTAAGCTATCACAGTCTATCAATTCCCACTTGGGGAAGTCCTCAATCAATGGATAATGGCTGATGGCAAGGAGAACACAAATCACTACCTCTTTGCCTTGTCCTTATACTCTTACCTAACCATCCTATACTGGCCACTGTCAGGGGAAGAATATTGAAGTAGGTGAACCTTCAACCGGATACAGTGATTCTTAATCCCACATTCCAGTCTACTGATTGTAGGAGCTAGGATAATTCTAGCTCCAACACGTTCCAAGCATATACAGGAACACAATAGTCAAATACTTATAACTGTTTATGCTTTATAAGCAAATATTTAGAGGGTTTCAAACACATTGCAAATGCAAGTACTCGCCTTGCTCCTTCTTTTAAAGTAAAAACATAGGTCCAAAGTGAAAGATTGGCTTCTCTAACGATCACCAGTCTTCTGCCAAGCAATTCCTGAATAAATAAAACTAAGTAAAATGTAGTTTTCCATGATCCAGGTTCATTGCTTTAGTCACTAGCAAGAGAAGGACTATGAACAACACAGTTCTTAAGTCAAATGTCATCTTTTCCAGAATGGTAACATTTAACAGCAACCCTCATGGGTTTGCTTATGGGGAAAGAGAAGAAGATTCATAAATCTCTTCTTTAGTTATGAATCAAAAGTAACTCATTCATGATTTCTCAATAGTTAAAAATAAAATTAAAAAATGTCACCATAATACATGCCATGCAAGTATTTAGTTTGTGATTCCAGCTTGCTTGTGTCTGCTGTCACCCACTCAGGGATCTTCCACTCCGGTTTGATTATTCTCTCCTTTATCTCTGAGATGGTATAAAGACATTTTGGTTCTTTTATGTAGAGAGATACTCAGGAATTAACTAAAATAGCTGGTGTTATAAATTAATTTGAAGATTCTCACTAAAATAAAGATGTTTGCAACATCAAGAAATTGTGACATAGTCACCGCACTGTGTGAAAACAGGAGAACCATCACGTGAGAATATCTAAAAAGCTAAATCTAAATTAGCCCATAATCAACAGGAGATATAATGTAATTTTGTATTTTGATCTTCCTTCTATAACAGTCAAGGTTCTCTATTAATAAAGCAGTAAGAGTTTGTTTATAGGAATTCAGCAAAACTCTTAAGGGTTTTGCAGGCAGGACATTTTCTGTTGTGGTATTCTACATGTCTAGCTTGTTCCATGAAACTTTCTTATATTTCAGATTTTTGCTTTTTGCCTTGATACTGCCATCTACTGTGCACAGCTTTTTTTGTGGTACTTTGCATCAGTTGATTGCATTTATCAACAAGAATACAAACTAATGGAGAGAGAATACAAGCAGCGTTTCAGTGTTTGGGTGAATTTCTCCTTTTCTTCCTTTCATCATGCTTCAGATACAGATCTGTGGACAGAGTTATCACATTTCATCAACTTATTTTTTGTTATTCCCCATCATATAGATGACTGGTTCTCAATTACTTCTGCCAATCTCTTGTTTTAATTAAGTATCTTCTTCTATTTTTAAAAATTAAATCTACAGTTGAAATGTATTCTTAATTACTTTCTGCATCATTTAATGAGAACTCATTCTTCCTAAAATGACAGATTCCAGGATCGTCATATCTCTACTAGAAAATATAATTTTTCTCTTCTAGATTTTTCCTATAAGATACAGAACACAAGTCTCCCTTCCTTTCCCTTCTTTGCCTATTTTATAATCCTTTAAGATCATCACTAGCTTTCAGATTAGGTCATAAAAGACTTGCAATTTAGCAGGAAAACTGTATTTTAAAGTTATCTATTTTAAGTAGCCAAATTCCCCATCATCTCAGTCTTTAGATGAAAAATAAATGCG